AAGAGACAAAGATGCTGATTATTGGCTTTTCAAATATCCTCAGATTGAAGACATGATATATGCAGACTTTGTGCCACAACTCTAATTGCAAAGATGTGCTGATTGAAAAAGTATTGTCAATATGTACCCTTTCAGAATATTACTCTAAATCTGGAAACAGGTTTTCAGTGTTTGCTCTGGTGCTGGTACTGTCTTCCCCACAAAATTTGGATCTCAAAAACCCTCCTCAGTAAGCTGGGAATAAAAACTGGATGTTCATGCTGTGCTTTTTTGAAGTTGTCAAGCTGGGATAACCTGTTGGCAGGGCATCATCTTGTGACAAGGAGATTGCTTGCTAATGGTCCAGTCAGCTGGCAGATGTTTCCTCTCTAGGAGCCAATGTTTAGTAAATAGCTGGTGTTCTCTGGAGTGTTTTGAATGGGGCATATATTGGAGCCTGGAAATTGAAACATCCCTCTTCAGCTTTATGTATGGTAAAGTGTATGCATGTGCAAGAACTACATAAGTCATTTTGGGCCAAAGTTGGAAAGACAGGAGCAAGGGGCAGGAGCAAGCTGAAGGCTGGATGTGGATCAGCTATCTGAAAGGAATGCATGAGCTGTAATTCTACATATATATTGTAAATAGGACAAATGTACAAAACAGCTTAAGTCTCTGATATTCTTACTAGACCAGATCAAGGTCAGAATACAGTGTGCAAACTTTCAAGTTCTTTAGAATTTCTTCACTAGCCAAGAGGGAAGTCAAAGCAAAAGTGGGGAAGAGAGGAAAGGGAAGACATTCTTCAAGGAATGGAGCCTGCATTTAGTTACAGTAGGAGGATATTGCAGACATTCAAATTAGGTGATATCTGATGCTGACATGGTTCCAGGTATTACCTAATCCTTTAAATAAAAGAGAAGAACTGTGCCAAGACTGCACTCAAGGAAGCTGACATTATTCCAAAAAAGGACAAGATGGGCTCAAGCTTCCATTTTACTTGAGCTATGAACATGCTAAGAATGTCCTCTTGTTGCTGTATATTTACTGCTGGTATGTAACTTGAAGAGAGGAAACACCTAAGAATTTTCACAACATGGTGGCATTTGTTTATAGTGTTTGTTCATGGCGTGTTACTCCCTTAAGCTATTTACACAGCCAGGATATATCTGACTATTTAGTATTATTTGATATTCTTGATAATTGTCCACTAACTTCACCTTACTAACTTGCATGCTGATGTATATGCCCATTTAATAAACTAAAAGCCTGCAGTTTGCAAAAAAAAAAAAAGGCGGGGGGAGGCTGTACGGTTTTAAACAAAGGATCAGTAAATGAAATTTGTGAGCCAAGGCTGACAAGCCATAACACTGGATCTCACCAAAGAGACAGAAAGTGAAAATGAAAGTCTATGATAACAAAGCATAAACCAGGCGGGCAGATGGAGAATATCATACACGGAGGTGAACCCACCTCTCTCCCTCCCTCTCTCAGCAGGTTCCTCTAGCTTGGTGTCCTTGGGTGGTTACTTTTCCTCTTTTACCAATCAATGCAGTTGCTTGTCTTCACGTTTGAACTCTCCCCCACCCACTTTTGTTAAACAGAAACTGAGGAGGGGAGGAGCCTTGTGGTAAGAGAAATGCTGAATGAAACTCTGCTAGTGTCAAGAGAAGTAATGGCTTACTGCTGACAGCCATTTCTCAGCTATTACTTGCTCCAGCCCAGACATTTCTCTGTGTCTCCATAGATACATAACTGCAGCATTTAGTATGTGATGATCTCTCTCCTTCTCTCTCTCACACTCAAAATAACAAATGAGAAAGAAACTGTGTATATGCATCTTAGAGTTTATCCTCTGATTTCACTTTTGACGTAAGCAAAATAAAATCACAATGTGCTCATGAAGGAAATGAGTCTCACCAAAGTTCTTGTTCCCGTTCCACTATTCCTTTGATTGGACACTTTTGCATATTAATGTCAAATCATAAAGACTAAAGTTTCTTATGAATACACCATTCAGAACATAGTGGGTTTTTCTTTTACATTAACATGTGTAACTCTAGCCAGTGTACCTTACTACCTTCAGTAGAAGTCCAGGCATCCTCCCAAGCTCCTATGAGAGCAAGCAGATATTCACCCACTTCATCCCAAACATCTCACAGAAAGATGAAATTTTCCCAGTTAAACTGCTGCCTTTCTTTCCCCAGAAAGCACTTAAGTAGATATCACTTTTATCACTCCCAGTGAAACAAAGCTAACATAGTTTTGCTGCTATAACTACTGCACTTCGCTGTACTGGAGTGCCAGTGTGGACTTCCCACCTCTTGTGAGCACAGACAGGTATTCACCTGCCTTATCCCACCCATGCAGTACAGAGACGGATGACCACCTTTCCCTGCTGAATTATCTGGAAGCAACCTAAGTGGCCCTGTCTCCAACTGACTCAAGATCAGCGCAGCATTGCTCCTGTACCCATGGCACTCTTACCCCATCAGTGGAACTCACTAAGACTTACCAGGATCTGCTTGGTGGACTATTTGGCATGGTGGTGTGGTGTGAATTTTGGAGCAGATTCTCCGCCCTGCACTGCAGCATTCTGGATCAGCTATAAGGGTGAAGTGAGAAAGAGAAAGGGAGGCATGCCTGGCGTTATCCTTAGTTTCACTCACTGTCATTACATGTAAAAGAGCTTATTTTAAAGATGAAATGGCATTTCAAAAATGTTTTTCACTAACTCTGGTGAAAAAATAATAGCCTACAAAATGGTTTCCAAATTTTTTTCAAAGTCTGTTTTAATGGGGAGGGGGTTAGTATGCTTTGAGTCTTTAGTCTGCTCTTTCTCTGTAATCCCACCAGTTATCACCAATCTCCCGTTATGCTGATATTTTCAGGGTATATGCAATCTACGTTTCTGTCAGCTGAAAATTTCTGAAAGATTGGTCAAATTGTTACATTTTATAAAGGTTACAATGACATCTCTCCCCCTCATCATAATTTAACAAAGCAGATTGGCCAATTTCCTGATGGGCTTTACTTAACTTGCCATCAGAGCAGTTAAATAATAATAAAAAAATCTTTTCATTGAGAGCCAGCTGAAGTAGTGGCACAAAATGTTTACTAATTTATATAACAGTATGCTGATTATTTATATGGGGCTCTGTCAAGCTACAGTTCTGCTCTTTTTTAGCTGATAAAATGCACTTCTCTTAGATGTAAATTCCATATCGTTCAAAGATCATTACTGTCAAGTATAAGTGCAGAATTGCAGCCACAGTTTTGATAGCTTCTCTTGAAGCCATCTTATTGGCTGCCTTTAAGAGGATGTATACTAGTCTTTCCTAACCTGGTGGCTTTCAGAGGTAATTGGAACACAACTCCCAGAATTCCCATCCATCCGGGCCATTGACTGGGAAGTCTGGCTGTTGCAGTCCAAATGTGTCCAGAAGACACAAAGCTGCTGCATACCATTGAATACCGGATGACAGTGATAACCATCTTTATTTAAAGCAGTCATATTTTCAGGTTCACTCTGCTGTAGCAAGTGATCAGAAATGGTAGCCAACCATTCTCCTTGAATGGTTGGCCCTTCACAGTTTCATCTGAGCTTTTTTCTAAAATGATTTACCGTGTGAAAAATAAGAGGGTTGGTGCTGAAGGTATTTCCTTGTACTTTGATAACTGGCTGGTAGTGGTAAATATTGCATGACAATGATGGGTGTGTGCATTGTGCAAACAGGATCTTGATGGAAAAACAGCCGGTTTTTCTAGTTACTATATAGAACTAGCTGTAGCACTGCTCTGTAAGTTGACTAGAAGATGGATTTCAGCTGAACCTTGGATACAGTAAGGCCTGCTTATTTAGAATGTCATTTGCCAGATCTTTCTTGTAAAAAGAATCCACCAGTAACTGTGTGTTCCCCATCATCATGTACTTGTAGAAAATAAGAGTTGGAAATGTGTTTTGTAATAACCTTAACTATAGGCAATTTGTGAGAGTGATCAGCTAACTGGCTACCTTATTTTACTTCCTGATGTCTCACTGAAATAAAAAGGTATTCTTGAAGTTATACATTTTTCTGTATCCCTGCTTAAAATATAGCACTAGATTGGCATAACTGCCTGATTAGAAATTATGCAGGAATTTATTTTAGAATGGCTGTTGTAATTCAAGAATAATCCTAATTCTCGTTTTTTCACAGAATGGTGATTCTTGAAGTTTTTTTACTATTCAGAACAGGTCAAACTAAAAAGATTGCTATTTTATTAAAAACACTTAAGTTACCATGTTAGACAGAGACATCTGAACAAAGTGATGTTATTAAACACCATCTAAAGATTCTTAATACTAAAATGATTTAGTACTAAATGCTTTTATACCATACTAAGTATCCCATTTATAGTGTTGATCAGTAGTCACACTGTTCCTTTGTTGTCCATTTTAATCCAGGTGAATTCAAGTGTACATCTCAGAGAAGTAGCACTATTTTAGCCTCTTCAGTGATTAAAATATCCCAGGGTTCCATGTTTCATTATGGGAAGTTTATCATTCAGTACAGAAGCAGTGCTCATCTCTTGAGCCTCTGCACAATAACGAGTCTCTTGTGATTGCACAGGCTCATGCCTGACAAGGTTGGACAGAACACTAAACAATCCATTTGCTGAACTTTTGTGATTTGTTTAATCGCTTCCATTGGTTGGAAGAGCTGAGCAAGTGTGACCAAGCAGGAAGCATTAGGAAGAATTCATCTTCCTGATAAATTCTGGCTTATCATTACCTGCAAAGTAACCCACTGCCTCGAAGGTTCTAATGTACTATTTGATTTATGCTGCTTAAATAAAATGTTCTTCTTGTTGAGTTTTTTTTTTTAAATTTTCATTTCCAGGTACCAAAAGTCCTAATACAGTGATCTGGGGGAAATCCTTAACCTGTGGATAAACTATGAATGAAGATCATTCAAGAAATTCAAGTAAAGTGAACACTCCAGTCACTAAAATGATGAGATTCACTTTTGGCATTGGCCTTAAATATATCAGTTGGCTTCTTTCAGGAGATCTGCTGCCTCTGTAATGCCTTGTCCTTTGCAATGATGTGCGTTTGAACTCTATATCACACGTTTCCCACTTCCAGAAAATACAGTTGAAGCAACATGTCTAAAAACTCAGAGATCATCAATTTGTCATTTTTATTGGAACATGAAAGGGAAACAATAATGGGGGTACTGAAACGAGATGAATACTTGAAAAAAATGGAAGATAAAAGGATCAGGTAATTTTTAAACAATCCTTTGAGATCTTTTAAAAGATTTGCATAGTTGTGGCTGTATTTATTCAGGGTAATTATAGTAGGATTGTTTTATCCTCTTCTTCTAATGTGCCTGATCTTACATTTTAGCTTCACAGCATCCTATGTTATAGTTCCACCTGAAATGCTTTTGTATATATGTTTAGGTTCTTTACATTGGCCATAGTTCATCAATAAAGAAACAACTGTATGCAATTACGGTTGTATGATTGGTCAAACCTATCATGATATGTTTACTGATTTGAGTCATGGTTGTATCATTTTGTGTCATATATAGGTCATTCTACGAAGTTCAGCCTGAAGCATGATTTTAATCAACTTTCACTCATGCATACACCTGCATCATATACCCCTAATTTAAAATGGATATTATGTATTAGTCCCCAGTGGCTTAAATTGGCTGTTTTTTGTTTTTTATTTGTTTTTTTGAAGTGCACAATTGTGAAAAGTTGAGCCATTTCACTGCCACATGAGAAAATGGTAGATAAGTCAAAAGTCTTTTCTCTTGACTTAACTTGAGCAATGGTCCTTGGCCTTTGTCTTTCTGTTTCTCATTGAAGGTTTGACACCATAGTTGGTGTTTCCTTTCTTTCATGTACAGAACCAGTTGTAAGGTTTCTTAACACAGTATTCTATAATTCTGACAGTCTTAAGGACCAGAATGGACATTCTCTAGCATGCATTCTCCAACTTATTGGTTAAATTTGTTATTTAGGCTAAGATAATTGTCTTATCAATAATATTTTATTAAGGGCAAGATGATTAATCTTTATGCTCCATTTACAGCTTTAGCTTATTTACCTTCAAAATGCAGTATATGAAAAGCCCATCAGTTATGTTGACATCTTTCCTCATTCTCAACAGGAATGCTCTTCTTAGGTTTGAGAAGATCACTAGCTAGCATGAAACTGCCAGTGTTTATAAGAATTAACTGAAAACAGCATACATCTCATCATGCTGGTAACATACTTAGAATGTCTTTAAACAGGGAACGGAGTACAATACTTGTATTAGGACCATCTGAAAATTGCAAGGCTGTTTCACATCATGCTTGTTAATTTTTTTGCTCTGTATCAACAACAACAACAAACCATAATCAAATAAGTCACTTGCAGAGAGTAGAAGTGGAAATATCTAATAGGCGATAAATTAGTCTGCACACAAAGAGAAATGTTCAGTACAAATCATCTGCAACGCCTTAGGAATCAATTTGTATGGGAGCAGCTGACTAACATCATGTATCCGTGCAGACTTACTCATGCCTAAATTCACTGACTGCAGTTAGTTTAGGGTGAAAACAGACATTATTCTATATCCATATATCTATATCTGTTTATCTTCTTTCATTATTTCTCTAGGGTAGGCATAGAAGCCATAGTATGGTTGCAACCTATTGTAGAATAAAATAAAAGCCAAAGTTATAACTGCTGGATATGGATTTAGAATAATGTCTTTTCTGGTCCTTAAGTTACCTTAGTTCTCTGTTAGTTCAGGAGTAAGTAATATAAAAAGAAGGTTCCACATGCAGAGCAGAATGCAAGTAGTGGCTTTTCACAAATGTCAGTGAAGTAGGAAAGGCACAAATTTTAAGACTCAATGAACTTTATAGTACAGTTGAAACCTATATATCAGAATTCTAGGTGCCTCAAACAGCTTCCCTATATTATTCCCTATGTGCCCCTTGCTTAGTGCTATATCAGTACAATTCTGTACAAATACCATGTTTTTACTTGACTTTGTGAATAACCAAATGGCTGAAGTTGTCCTGTAGCACTGCAGGTATACTTTGTGAAAGTAACATTAACCATGCTTTCACATCAGGTCTATACTTAAAAGTATTTAAATTCAAGAGCAGAATTTTGGGTTCTACTCAGGACAACAAAACCATATTCAGGCATGCAAAATATTATTCTGTCCATCCACAGTCATCTGCAGATACACTTTTCTGAATGTCCCTTCCATCAGAAGGTGTCCAAGGAGTGAGTGTCTTAGTTGTGGTGTCCTGCTTATGGGACACCTTCCCTGAGAGGATCATCAGATGTCTGCATTCTTATGTTTGCCATTCCAGACAAAGCCTATTTTATTCTCCCCGAGAGTAAATGAACTTTTTCAGAATGGGTCTTTTCCCTGCTTTTAAAAAGTTAATTGCTGCTCACCCCCTAAAAAGAGTACAAAATGAATTATGTCATATGCACATTGATCATAAGATATTAGAAGTCAAGTTGATGTGTATATTCAGAACATCATTCTACTTTCCAAGTTTAAACACTTGTTATGAAGCAATAAGTCCCTTGAACACTGAGTTATCGCAAGGATTTTTGAAGGATGAGGGGAGCAAAAGAGCAGCATCCGTATTAATGGGCTATTTGAAGACTGTGATTTACCAGTATACTTAGACTTTTATCCCTTGAACTTCTTTTTATTTATTAGGGTTTTTAAAAATTAGGCAGTTCTTGCTTCTGGCAAAAACTGTTTTAAAACTGCTCATACCTGTGATGCTTGTGAGTTTATTCTACTGATGAATAATATATTCTGTTTTCTAAGCATTGTTCAGCTGAAGCAATGGCTGTGCTGACAGTAGATTAAGGTCTGACTCATTTGCTTCCTCCACCTCCTGTACTCTTAGAACACTTAATTCTTCCAGTGTTGAAATTCCACCACAGTCACAAACATCCAGTGATTCATCCTTGAAGGCACTGCAAAAAATTACAAAAGGAAATTCTTTGTCAAACACAGCTGTCCGAATTGATGTTGAATTAAGGCACCACAGAAGATATCGTTAATATCTTATTTGCTTATATAAAGTTGTAGGCACTGGTGTTCCATTAGCAAAAGAGAACCACTGTGGAATGGTTTCCCTTACCTGCTCCCCCATGCAGTTCCCCTAATCTTCTCTGGAGGAGTAGGGGGCCTTTTGGAGCAGATTTAGTATAGGGTGCTACATGGTCAAAGATCAAAGAAATCTCATTGTGTAAGCATCGCACTGAATCCTTTATTTTTCAAAATTTGTCCCTTCCTCTAAGCACCTGTTGGAATTCCAGGTAGTTGTTTCTGTACAAATACTGGACAGACAAGGATCTGGACTTCTTCTCCTAGTAACTGAGTCTGAACTTGCACTCACCTTATAATTTTTACTATGGATGCTGCTGTTTGTATAGGAGCACAGCTGGAAGGGACAAAGTGCCAAATAGTTGTGACCAACCAGTTGAAAGATAGCACTGCCACCTATTTTTCTCATTACAAACCATGTCAGGTAAACTAGAATGCGGCACAAGCACACTTTAGCAAGTGCTGTCAGAGCAGTAGCACCAGATGATTGATTCAAGTGAACCAGGTAATTTGCTTCAGGAGAGGGCCACAGCAAATTGGCAGGCCAGATGTTTTTCATGCAAGAGGTCTGTGCTTCATTCTCTGGCGTCTCCAGGCAGGGTTCAGAAATATTCCTCTCTGGTATAAGGCAACTTGTTTATGTTCCATTGGCCAACCTGACCTGGGGAGGGATAGAAATTGATCAGAATGGATACAGTGCTAGGTACTGAAAGTATCTAGGGCTCAGGCCCACGGGATGATGATGATGATGCATGTGCTAATTTACATATGCACATATGTAATTTACATATGTCTCTTTCTGTGAGGGCAGCTGCTTTAAAAAGAGATGTATGGATGAGGCAGGAGGGGCATTTGATTTGAGGAAAAATCCTTAGGTGGAAAGATTTGAGGTGGAACCCATCAGTAGGGAAAGGCCACCAGGGAAATCAGATGCAACAGCCACGATTAGGGCCCCTGTACTTTTATTTCAGCAAGTACCGATGGGAAGCATGGTGGTGGAGGAGATGGCCTTATGTTGGTTCAGGGCTCCAAGTGAAATAACTGGGGCTCCAGGCATAGTGACACTAGTAGTGTCCCTGGATCACACAGAGCTAATTGTATGAAATAGTCCTTGACTAATCAAATGGGTCCCTCCTTCCTTGTTTTCCATTTCTCTCCCTGCCTTCCTTTGTCATTTAAATGGGGTGTAATGGCAGTTGCCGAGATCCAGTGAGCCTGAAGCTTACTGATGTAACTCCAGACCATAGTTCAGATCATTCCTAGGTCATACTAAGGAAAATTATATTGGGTGCAACATCATGCTACTCAGTGTCATAACTTCCTTGTAAATCTGAAGGGAAATCAAGATGGTATCCTACAAATGGGGAATTGCAGACAGTTCTGGCAGTAGATCACAGCTGAGATATCTTAAATAGGAAGAGCAAAACCAAGAATATTTTTTTCTTTTCCTCTCATAGATGTTAGTTTCATTCAATTTATTACATTCCTTTACTGCCTAATAGCTGAGTCTCTCTGGGTGGTATACAGAGATTAAAAACCTTACAATACAAAAGCTATTTACCTTCAAACTTATAAACAGATGTGTGTGTGTAATTTGAAACAATCAATGATGACATTCCAGGACCTGCTTGAAACATACACTGCCAGATGCCTGAGGGTAGAGGAAGGGCTTAATCTGACCCCAAGCAGACAACAGTGTTGACGCCAAGTGTGCCTCATTGGGGAGACCATTCCAGATAGAGATTTCACAAATTATTTATCTTTTGTCATTTTCAAAGCTCTACCTTGCAATGTTAGGCCTAGATCCAAAGTGCTGTTGGAGGAACTACACTGCATTCAGCACATACGAGTAGCAGTGACTACTTCCAGAAACTTGACTGCATATAATAAGGCTTCTAATTGATTCTGGGTTTTTAAAAACAGTTTTTAAAATATTTTTGTAGACTAATAGTTTTATGTTACATTATCTTGTATTTTTAGGTTTTGGAATTTTGTAAATAGCTGCAAGAGCTTTGCCTGTTGGGCTGTACAGGCATATAAAAAGTGGAATGAAAAGGATGAGGTCTCCCTCGTCATTGCAGCCTTCTCCATTAAAGGCTTCACTAGTATAAGAACCATCTGGCTGAATTGCACCAAAGACCCTTTGAACTTGATGCTGTTTTCCCAACTATATTCAACCAGTAGCTTCTAGAGCAGCCTTTCCCAACCTAGTACCTGCCCAGTGTGCTGGACTACAATTCCTATCACTCCGGGCCAACATAATTAGTTCACTGGGTTAAGAAAGGCTGCTCTAGACGTTCATGGACAAATGCATGAGGACAATGGTCAAGCCTGTTTGTCCCTAGCACCTTGCACTTGGGGACACCCCGATTCTGCATATGAATGTTCTATTTAGCTATCAATTTAATTGGCCCATTAAGAGAGATTCATGACTCACAGTAGGTTAGCAGTATAACTGCGGTCATTTGCAACCCCTGCCTACCTAAAGCTTGCTTGGGCGCAGGTCTAACCATTTCCCTGAAGCTGGTCAGCACGTGTACGAGAATCAAAATAAGTGTAAAGTTCATTTCCAGAAGGAAAGTACTGCACCTTCTTGGGAGGATGTTGAAACAGCAGAATAAGGGTAATGGCATCTTTATCTTTTTGGAGCTCTAATTTTGTTTTTGTAGCGAGTGTCATTATTATTATTATTATTATTATTATTATTATTATTATTATTGATAATTTTGATATTCTGGGATATCCACTATCTAGAGAAAATGTGTGTTTTTATTTCTTCCAGGAGGAAAGTGAGACCATACCATAGGAGAGGTGCTAAACCCACCTGCTCCTTGTAAACCTGATCCTACTCACTCCCTGTCTTACCCAATGGCTGCAGTTTTAAGGGGAAAAAGCAGATCTTTCATGTATCATCTAGTGTGGCCCTAACACAAGTACTAGCCAGAATTCTGCACTGGCAAGAATACAAAACTGTAGTCTGGAGCAACTTTCTACAACTTGCTGCATTGGACTGCAATTCCCAGCTGCAATGTTAGATGAGGATGATGTATTATAGTGCCATGCAGCTAGGCTGAATGGTGATCTAGAATCATGGTCTATGAGCATGATTAGAGGTTGCTGATCTTCTGGAATGTTTAGTTGCTTCACATGAACAGTAGAATTCTTCCATATACAAGTAGATCAATTATTTGGGATTATACTTTAGCTAGGATATCTTGGTGAGATGCTTGAAAGGTGTTACTGGCCTGTTGGAAGGTCAGTGTATCCTTATATTACACATTTTCATGTTCAGCTTATCGTTTATTATTATCATTACTATTAAAAATTTAAAGACTAATGTTTGGTAATTAACAACAAAAAGTAGCAGCATTGCTATTTTGTATGCATATGCTGTACTACCATCATTGGTTTATCTCATGAAAACCCTGTGATGATTGTATCTAGGGAATTGAGGCTAAGAGATACAAAATTGCCAAAAGTCAGCCAGTAGGTCTTTTAAAATGGGTTTAAATCCCATAATGTCTGTGCTCAACAGAAAAGTACAACGCAACTTCCTCCTCACATTATATCTCTGTGTACACAAAGGAGGAGAAAGTAGGGCGGCTTCTATTTGCAGTTTAATTCTGCATAACTGAATGCAAAAGCTGATTTTCTGCCTGTGGCAGAGTCCTCTTCATGCACACTTTGTCTCACATGCTTAAGCATTTGAGTCAGCTTTAGCCATTCTGCACTCCCGTCCCCATCCATTCATTCCTACGGGTGATTATTGCTCACACTGGTTTTAGGCAGTTCAGTATTCAAAAGTAGATGAAGAATAAGGTTGCAATGAGGAATTGCTTTCTGTGTTACAGCTTGTATTTTAATGTGTAGGTTGTGGTTGAGATTAATATTTGAACCTATGGACTTTTTGTTTGATTAATACTTGACACCTGCTGTTTTGCATTCAAATGTTTGAAGTAACTTGACTGGAAAGCATGACATTTGCTGATCTATGATGGCCCCTTCATACATATAAGTCAGTTTTTGATACTGTTCTCATGAGGTGATGAACATGCATGTGCGAAACATTTAAGTTTTTATGAAGTGGTAAATTCTTTGTTTTCTTCCAGGAAACTGAAGAATGAGTTATTGGAAGTAAAACGGAAAGGTGGGCGGCATTACCAAGAAGACAACAGCAGGATATGCATTCGCTGTCAAAAAAATCTGGGCTTAATTTTCGATAGAGGGGAACTCTGCCAAACATGCAGACTCCGAGTTTGCAACAAATGTCGTGTTGTAGGAATTGATGGCAACTGGAAATGCACAGTGTGTGATAAGATTGCGTAAGTTTTCTTGGTGGGGTGTATTCTTGGACAATTTGACAGGAGTCCAGTTTCAGCTTTTGTTCACAATTGTGCCTAATTTTACCAATATAAACAATTCTTGGCTTATGCTAGTGAAGGGACTTTTGATGTTTGCTTTGCTACATAGCAATGCCATTCTTCATTTGAGGGAGCATTTGGAATCGTTACTGTTAATTGCTGCCTTATTGGTTGGCACATGGGAATACCTTTAAGTACCTGGCTGTGAAAGATGGAGGTTTACTGATCACAACTTCTGTAGAATCTTCCCAGGTGCAGTGCCCCAGGTCCCTGCCAGGAACCATTGTGCCATGTGCCTCCACAGTCGCACAGCACATTTGCTCATCTGCAAAAGTAGCTCTTGTAGAATCGTATAAACACTCTGAACACCATGAAAAAGTTGAGGGGAATACAGAACATTTCACTTAGATCTCCCAGTTTATCCAGATCAGTCATTTGAATTGCTCATTAGGCAGCTCTTAAGAATAAAAAGCTCATTGAATTTCAGGGCATGGAGAAGTGAAGTTGTATTATGAAGCACTTAGCACTACAGTATAGATTGGGGAACAAAGACAAAGCAATAAAATTTCTTATCCTCTTTTAACAGAACACATTGAGAAAAGTGCTAAGCGTTTTAACCATTTCGATCCATTGTAATTTGTATTCAAAAGAAATGTTAAAGTAAGAACTCCCCTTTATATAAAACGTCTCTGCTTCTAACACAAGACTTTTCTTTAGCTGGGAAAGGCAATGTGCAGGTGCATGGTAAAATGTGCCCCGGCACTTTAAATATAACCACAATTAAGCAGCTTTCGTCAGTTATAAAGTTTTCCAGTGCTAAAACTTCCACCGTTGAAGTGTCTGGTAGTCATTATAATAGTGGTTTCAATTGCAGTTTCTGCTGTTACCAAATGCTCTTCATGTTATTAAAGAGATTCTACATATCAGAATCCCAGAGTGCTATAGATTACACAGTATAGTCCAGGTTGCCCTCCCCATTTCTGTGAAGTTCAGTCCAGACCTTCACTGCTACCCTGTATGAACTAAGTGATTGGATTCACACAATACTCAGTGTCTCAGTTCACTTTACTTAAAGCCATAGGAGCTTCTGTTGTGTGAACCCACCATGGCTGCTTTAGGGTGGTTTATAAGTCCCAGCTTCTGGGTCTATAAGCTACTCCAACAAGCCATGACTTGTGGTTGGGTTTGTTTGATGTTCAGTGGATTGTCATGCTGTTCAAACCTGCCTATTAGGCATGAGGCACAATCACAAGAGAGTGCATTGGCAAGGATGACAAAATCCCCTTGCCAGACTTGCCAAGAGGTTCAGGATGACTGCTGATGAGAGCTGTTCCCAAAGTGTTCTCCATGGGACACTTGGTGAAACTGTCAGCGACTTCCTTGCGATTGTGTTCCTTGTAGTCCTGGGAAGCTTCACGCTGCTTGGCCTCCACTCAGCTTCCTTCCATCTGGTGCCCTGGCAAGCGATGCCAGATGGGAGGACCCTCACTCTGCACAGCTGCACCATTCTTATGCTGAGGACCCTACCAAGATCAGCAGCCATGCCAGCAACCATCACAGCAGCTCATGAGGGCTACTCAGGAGCCAAGATGAGGGTTGTCAGCAATCTCCACTGTCCCTTCTGTCTCTGCTGACAGTTAGCAGTGGAGTGAAAATATTGGTGCACCACGGGCTACTTGTAAGAGGACCAAGCAGGGAGGCTTGGCTTCTCAAGCAAGCACACCCAGTATGTGAATTAGTACCCATCTAACACTCCCAGGGGACTGCAGGTGGCGCAGTGGTTTAAACCGCTGTGCTGCTGGGCTGGTTGATTGAAAGGTCGCCGGTTCGAATCTGCACAATGGGGTGAGTTCCCGTTGCTCCGTCCCAGTTCCTGCCAACGTCGCAGTTCGAGAGCATGAAAATGCAAGTAGATAAAAAAGTACCACTTCAGTGGGCAGGTAACAGTGTTCCGTGCACTTTGGTGTTTAGTCATGCCGGCCACATGACCATGGAGACTGTCTGCGGACAAACGCTGGCTCCCTCGGCTAGGAAACGGAGAGGAGCACCGCCCCCTAGAGTCAGGCATGACTGAATGTCAAGGGGAAACCTTTACCTCTACCTTTTTAACACTCCCAGTCAGTGGTACACTGGAGAACTGCTAGTGATGGGCAAATCATCTTGCGAGGATGCATGTCTGCCTTGACTGATTTCCTCTCATTGTCTCAGTCTTCTCATTGAAGAACTCCTGAGAGAGGCCTGCAGCCCACAGTTTGACAAACACGCTTCTTTGGCCTCCTAACAGGACATGAGAGTGGAAGAGCCATGGGTTTTAAGCACAGACTTGTTTCAACAACATAGAGGCTACAAAGGTCTGATGTGCATAAGTGATGTGCATGCAAACCCACCCTTGGTCTATAGTTTTTACAGACCTTCCCCAGTGATATTTTTCCAGCATCTGTTACTAAGGAAGACTGCAGTAAGATAGCCTGAATACATCCCCTACCTGTCTACACCTTTTGCTCTTTACATTTGACCTCCTGTTTTGTACAAAACTGGGGCAGTTCCAGGATTAAACACAGTGATCTTCCATGAAAAATCCTGGACCTAAGCAGTAGTAAGCAAGCAGTAAAATTGACAGTCAGCTAGGTGATTTTAATATAATAAATTCAAATTATTGTAGAAGTAAAAATGATCACAATAATTATGTTCACTTTACCTAGCAAATCTAGCAAGCTGAACAAATGTTCTAGACCAAAAGAAAATCATAAGATTTTCAATTGTATGTGATCACCACCGGTACGTACAAGTGGCCAACTTTTTATTGCTTGTTTTTTATTTTGCCTGCAAACAAATTAAAACTTTGGCTTCTAATCTTGTGAAATGCTTCGCTCTGTCTGGTAGACAGCTCTCATCCTACCAGACAGTTACCATGTGAATGAGAATACATGGTGCACATTGGGAGCAGCTTAGAAGAGATTAATGATGATTCATAAGATGACTCATATATATCTCACATGTCAAGCCGTATCACAGTGTAAAGGATTCATCTTCCAGAAGTGTTAAGTTGAGGATGGGCGTGGGGGTGGGAATCCCTTGCATGGTATTCTCCTGCATTTTCTTGGGTGACAGAATATTTCATTACTCTATCACTTTATCATATCCACTCTCCGAATGAAATTCCAGTTTCTGTTTTGGCAAGGGAGGAAGAATGGGAGCTCTAGGCATTTTATGTGAGTCTGCCTCCTTAATGCTGGTAGTTATTTAGGAAACCCTTAGATTTAACAATTACAATGAGAGGGCATGGATTAGGCCACCAAAAGACTTCTTTTCTATCGTTTGTGTACATACACAGTCCTGATCATCCTAGATACCACCTAGCAAAAAATGCAAGGAAGAGGATGGAAAGGTGCTGATTGCCTCTGCTACTCCTCCTGCCCCCCAGTGAATTATCAGAAGCCTCTGAGTTTGGAGGCTTTGAATTACCAATGGTGCAATTGATAGGATCTCCAAGTCTAAGTAAACTCCAGAAGTTGCAAACTAGTTTTCATGTTTTTCCATCTGGGAGATGTCTACCCTATTTTGGACATGGTTCCTCTCTTGTGACCCTATCTAAAATAGGCTGAAAATTAATCTCCCCAGATGTGAGAACAAATAACTACATCTCCTTCATCTTCACCTTCATTTATTTATTTATTTGATTTTTAGCCCACCCCATTAGCCATACAGTTCCAGGCCATAACAAGTCCAAACACTGATTCAGCATTTCTACAGCTTCAGAATACAGAGAACTAGAACTGGATGTAATCAGTCTAAACAAATATAAAGTCACCCATGTTGGAGCAAAATACCCGGCTTCACATATGTGCTGATGGAACCAAAGCTGCCGATGAAGGAACTCGACACTATGGTGGCCAGCTTAGTGCAGAAGTGACTGCTGTGAAAAAGGCAAACTCCATATTAGGCATAATTAGGAAAGGAAATGAAAATAAAACTGCCAGTATCATACTGCCCTTACACTAATCCATGGAATGACTACACTGTCTATATTTCTAGTCACCACATCTTAAAAAGTATTGTATAGGGAAAAGTGCAGAAAAAGTCAACTAAAATAATCAAAGTGCTGGAATGACTCCCCTGTGTGGGAAGATTATAACATTTGGAAGAGTTTTGCTTAGAAGAAAGGTGAGTGAAGCGAGGTGTGGAGAAAGTGGATAGAGGGACATTTTGCTTTCTTTCTCTTATGTAATACTAGAACCTAAGATCCTTCCTTGAAGCTGGGAGATTCAGGAAAGAAGTACTTCACACAATGCATAGTTGACGCTGCCAAAAGAGGTGGTGATGGCCACCAATTTGGACAGCTTTAAAAGGGGATTGGGCTAATTCCTGGAGGAGGAAGCAATCAGTGGCTAGTATTTCTGATGGCTTTATGATACCTCTGTGTCAGAGACAGTATTGCAATGTATACCAGGTGGTGGGGAGCATGAGCAAGAGCATGCTGTGCATTCTGGTCTTCCTCCTGGGTTTCCCATGGGCATCTGGTTTGTCACTGCATAAACAATGCTGCACTAGATGGACCCTTCTCCAGCCTGCTCCTCTTTGTGCTCTGACAGCAGTTAAATCCAGATCCCTAGATATCTCACTCAGTGGCCTTATATAGACCAGGGATGGGAAACATTTGGCCCTTCAGATGTGGTTGGACTGAAACTTGCATCAGCTAAGGCTGGTGGGACATAGCCCAACAGCATCTGCAGGGCCAGATGTTCCCTGTCCCTGATACAAGTGATAAAAATTATGTGGAATATGAAGGAGCTCTGTCGAACCCAAAACACAAGTCTTGATGCAGAGGTACTCCTGGAAAGGAACCTCAGGGATTGCCATGCCCCCATTCACAAGTGATAACTATTGGTCAGCACAGTGGGGCCCTTATACATGAATAAGTTAAGGGGAAAATAGTGTCCAAATAAGTAAAGGATTCTTTCCTGCAAGATGTCATAAAACCAAGAGAGGAAAAACAGGTTTTTTGTTGGAGATAAGCCTTGAAAAGCTTTTTAAGAATTATGAAAGAGGCACTGCATATCAAAAGGTTGAGTTCTATGCCTTTTGTAATACAAAAGAGAGCACTGTCTGTACCTGGAGCAAAGCTTCTATCCGATGACATTTGCCAAAGTGTCACAAAACAGGGAATGACATTAAATAAATTAATTTGCATGATATCTGCCTGTGCAGAACTGGCATTTAAAACTGAAAATTTCTCCTTTGCTAGCACACCCAGCTTTTTTACGGCTTCTGTGAAATGTTCAGACTGCAAATCTGACCATTTTCCCAGGAAAATCAACATTCTGGAGGCTAAGAGTTCTGATAAGTTCCCTGATTAACAAGTTGAGTCAAATGTCTAATATAAATATTTGTTATTGGGGAAAAGCGTATTTCAGAACAAAGCTCTGAAGGAAAACATTCTATATAAATATGTACACATACCCAATACATGCATATACTCAATAATACAAAGATTTTACTGGATTAGATATGGAATAAAAATCTGTAAAGAGACAGCTGGCTAGGGCAGGCCTTTGTTTTCTCTAAAGTTGCTTACCGTTGTGTCTTCACTCAGTGTTCATTTGTGTGTATTTGTGCATGTGCATATGTGAATGCACATAGTGTTCATTTTCCTTTTATCCAACTACAAACACATAACAAAAAGGTGGAATGCTAAAAGGAGTGGAAATTTCATAAAAGCAGTCAGAATGGTTTTCAGAATCCTATGACACACTTGGGTCTGACATGTGTATTCTGTAAGCATCTGCAGGGTAGCCATTATCCTTTTGAACTCCTGGTCCCTGAGTGTCCTTTTTACTTCAGCCTTTTCCTGTGTAGTTAATATTGTTCCAAGCCGGAACTGAAGAAGGCAGAGCTGCTTTCCTGTTCCCAGGCAGAGCTGTCACTGGGGGCTGATCTCACTGGCTGCCTGCTGGTCTCCAGAGCTTGCTTGCGCTGCTGCTGCTTGCGGCTGGTGAAGCCTGTCCACCTGCTCTCTCTGAGCATGCAAGCAGTGACTAGAATGGCAAGCAGAGCATGTGACTCAGCCACTGGGGTGGTCCACATGCCATGCCAAGCCATTCTGAGAAGCCATGGTGAGTGGCTCGTACCAACGATTGTGGCTCATTTCTCCTCAGCCTCTTCCAGTCCTCCAGACTGCTGTTGGTTCACATAAGATGACTCTGTGGCAGAAATCCTCACTGTCTCATTCTCCACATCAGCACCTTTCTGGTATTGGTCTGTGGTTGCTAGCTGATGACAGTAACTTGGTTGTGCTTGCCTTTCTAATCCATCCTCCGTGATCTTTGCACTCGTGGTTTGTTGTGTGGATTGGGCACAGAGGGAGAAGATGAGAGACTAGAGTGGTAGCTGTGATGAAGAAGGAGTACTTAGGTGCCACTTAGAGGAGTAATGGTTCCCCCTCCCCCAATTTGGAGTCAATGCTTGGATTATCCAAATATTTCATGGGTCAAATGCGTGGATGGACCATGTTTGAGGGATTCTTCCAGGTCTGACCTTTCATCTGTGATCTTTACACTTGCCTTTACTTGACTGGATGAACAAACAGCTAGATTACTATCATCATCATCATTATATCTGCTGCTGCTGCTACTGCATTCATTTCTATACTGCCCTATAGTTGAAACTCTGTGGATAAATGGATAAACACTGTGGCATACTGCTTGTTCCAGGTCACAGTACTATACAAAATACATTTTCATGTCTTTCATGCAGGCATCTTAGAATTGTAACAGGTGAATGGTTTTTTGAAGAGAGGGCAAAGCGCTTCCAGCAATCCAAGCTCCTTGGAACTGATATTGTTAGACGTTCTATCCTACGTAAAGCCCCAGGTAAAAATAACAAAAGGTGAAAAGGTTTGCTTTTTCTATCTTCTTTCCCTAATTATTCTTAGTGGTCTTATTATTGCATAATGAGCTAGCATGTGCTAATTCCTTCTTTTTATATTTATTTAATATTTATCCTCTTACAATATGTATGTAATGATGCAAGGGATTGGTCGGGTCAGTACCTGCTGAGTTTTAGCAGTGCTACAGCATTAAATACTCCTAGACCATTCATTTGAGAAATGTCTATATCTTAACACATTACCTTTACTTAAAACCCTGTTTGAAATTAGTGTATTGCTGAGCTCATTGTTGAAGCTGATAGGCCACAATCAAAATGTTTCAAAGTGAATATCAAACTCCATACCTGGATGGGAAATATGGTTACTCAGCTTATATATTATCAGGCATTCCACTTATGTGTAGAAAGCTTCTTTATATAACAGAGAATATTATCCCTGGTTTACACAATATTAAAGATCTTAGGTTTATAAATATTAAAACTGTTATTTGGTGCTTTCTATCATGTGTTCTGAGAATGGCATTAATGCTGAGAAAATACATTCACACATGTCAGGGATGCTGTTGGCCACAATCATGTGTACATATAATGTTAAATGGGCAGACCTGGATTGGAAGTAGAGCATGTACTTTGTATTCAAAAAAATCCAAAGCTCCCAGTCCCTTGTAATATCCCTAGTACAGAAGCAACCCTATGCCTGACATCTTGGAGAACCAATGACTGTCAGAGTAGATTGTACTAGGCCTGATGGACTATTGATCTGACTTGGTATAAGGCAGCAGGAAGGTACATTGCTTTCCATTCAATGGAGTCCATCCATGAATATATATATATATATGTATATGTATATAAGCAATCTAGAAGAGGGCTTTTAACAGTGGCTATGTGCCCTCCATGGCATATGAAAGAGGCCTCTTTTCACAGGTTTATGGTGTGTTTCTAGGTTCAGTTCAAAAGACTGGTATTGTTTTAAAGCTCCAACTGACATGAAATTACAATAATTAAAGACCCATCTCCTACCACATCATAATAATCCATATACTATTAATTACATTTCTACGGCACATGCTTCATATGGCACAAGCATTCTGCTTCATAACATTTAAGTCACCCATCCAGATTCGACCAGGCCCGACCCTGCTTAGCTTCCAAGATTAGGCAGGATCAGACACCTCAGATTATATGGAAGCTATATCATGCTTGATCACTGAGTCATATTTGAGCCATTTGAGGTAAAATAAATTTATCTGTTGTGGTGGCCAAACCTATTATTGGACTTTTTTAAAAGTGTCTGTTTTTAATTTGTGTTTTATCAGCTTTTTCAGTTTGTTGTTGTCAATTTTTTTCTTTATTCCCTTACCCCATCATTATCTAGTGGGTTTTACTTGGAACAGAAAGGCAGGATATACAGGATGAAAGTATATGGTGGGTGGTGGATTGCAAAACAAAAGGGGCTTCCACACTCTGTGGGCCCAGCACGTTTAAAAGAGTGTTTTGTTGGCATTGGATTTAAGACTGTTCTTTTCAATTTCTTCTGCTATGAAGTACTTAAGAAACCTACTTTCAATGCCATTGCTTTGTTTTAAAATGTGCATTTTTTCTTTAAGTTTCTTCCTCTGAACAGACAGAAGGAGAAAAACCCAAAGATCAGTCTCCAGAGAGCTTAGAGGAGACATCAAAGCAAGATACACTGGCTTCCTTCTCAAGTGGGACAAAATTAATATTCAGTGGGCCCAGAAAAATAGGGTAAGGCATCCTTTTACAATATGTAGTGAATTTATTAGGGATTCTACAGTATTCCACTATTTGGACCCAAACTTTCAATACAAAATCAATTGTTTTTATTATAACTGAAGCTACAAATAGCTATTCACATAGCTAAAGTAGCAGATGGTGGTACTTAGTTCCTTCCTTTTTGTAAAGGTGTACAATCAGCTTTATTTATATTGTGAACAATGAAAAGACATATGATTCAGAATCACATTCTACTTTGAAAAGAATCTCAGAACAGTGTTTAAGAAATTGCTTTGAATTGTTCTTTTTGGTTGTATAAATTGTTCTGTTTATGAATAAAATGTTTCTCCTGACTGTCGCATAAGTTAAGTGAAAATAGGTGCTTTTTTCCTATGCTTCATTAGCAGTAAGGAGAAAAAAGACCCACCTGCCATACTAGAACTTGGGGGTCATTGAGTGTAACTGACAGAAGATTCAGGACAAGTAATCCTCTCTTCCAGGATCAACAACGGGGATTCTCTCCTAGCTGCACCCAAGTGCCACTTGGTGCTTTTGAGCAGTGTCCTCCCCTCAGTATCCCCTGAGATATACCAATAGGAGGACTGCAGGGGTGGAGAGAGGAGAGGAGGTACCTCAGGTCCCCCACTGTGCTCAACCATCTGTCTGGCACTTCATGGAATCTGGGAGAAGCAAGCTACGCTGCCTAGCTTTCTGTACATTGTGGCTTGTTGACTTGTGCAAACCCAGTCACTATGTCAAATCAATGGACTACTCCAAGTAGGACTTATGCTGGATTTTACCCATAAAGTTTGTAATTTTTAATCCCTTAAACAGTATCAAAACAAGATTTTATTTCTAAAATTGTAAGCGTGAAATAGATATATGGCTATATCCTTTGCTTTATCTCCCTATTAATCTTCAAATCTCTATTCAGCAGGAAGGTCTTCAAGGGAGTCACTAAAGGAGATACTGCAAATGTGAAAACAGAAGATGGAAGAAGCATCACCTCAGATGCTGAAGTCCAGAGCATACACAGTGAAAAGTAAGTGAAATGGATCTGCTTTTATACAGTAAAACTTTTCTCTTTCTGTATGGGTTTCAGAAAGTGATGTACATGTTGTAACCATTCATGGTGCTTTTTAATTGAAATCATCCTGCCTTAAACTTGTCTGATACCTTTTCCTAGATGTGCACATTTTTCTTGCAATAAGTTTGTAAAACACAACATGCACAGACTCCCACTTGTACAACCAAGTAGGGAGTTAGCTGCATGGCTCACAGTATTTTCACATTTTACATGACATATGCAATTGGTGCATGGACACTGACTTTCCTTCAAAAAGCGGAATGGTGGGAGATTCAGGCCAGATGAAGGAAGTACTACTTCACATAGCACTGTGGAATCTTCTACTGTAAGATGTAGTGGTGGCCATCAATTTGGATAGCATTATTGTGGTGCATTTTACATTGGTTTTAATGTGTTTTATTTGTAATTGTTGTTTTATATAGTATTTTAATCTTTATTTTACTCTATTTTGTATTTTATTTTGGATTTTTTCTGCTGTAACCCACCCAGGGAGTCTTATGGCCAATGGGGCAGGTTAGAAAGTTAATAAATAAAGGAGAATTAAGCAAATTCATGCAGCTTAAGGAAATTGATAGCCTGCTTTATTGATTCAGTTATGTCTCTCCACACCAGTTTCAGGGAAATGTGAGCAGGAAGGTGCTATTGTATATGGGGCTTCCCATAAGCTTGTTGGCTTCACTGTTTGAAGCAAATACTGGACTAGATGGGCTGCTAGTCTAATCCAGTGTGGCGGGTCTCATGTTTTCACTGATGTAAGCATCTGGAGTGTGGATGAATTGCATGTATCTTTATGCACTCAGATACTTGTGCCTGGAAATACCAAACACAAGGATTCACAGATGCTTGTACACAGGTGCATGCATCACCCAAACACTGGTAGACAATATAGAGTGTCCTCTTATGGCTGCCTGCCTTTGGTGATGAGAGTGAGCACAGCACACTTTATAACTATCCTAACAGTGTGTCAGACAAGACCAGCATTTGAGAGTGTTTTACATTCTTGTTCCAGGATGCAACAGTCTAGTTGAATCAGACACCTTATTTAATGCCTAATCCTGGCAATTCCATGGTCATTTCAAACAGTGATTTCATCCATGATTGATTCCTGTTATTTGAGTGGTAGAAATTCATTGGGAGATAGGTATAAAGGTGTTTTCACATTCTTTTGAACAAATATGAAACATTTAGATAATTTATTTGATGTGTATCCTAACTGTCTACCCAAAATACAGCCCTCAAGGCAACTTATAATAAACCAATACATTAAAATAAAATAAAACATTTATTAGATTTATATCCCACCTTTTTCTTTTTGAAAGAAAGCAAAGCAGCTTACATCATTCTTCTCCTCCTGCACTCAATCTTATCTCTACAGCAAGAACCCTGTGAGTTGGGTTGGGCTGAGAGTCTGTGACTGGCCCAAAGTTACCCAGTTGGCTGAGCAGGGACTAGAACCCAGATTGCCTGAGTCCTAGACCCAACCTCTTAACCACTGCGCCACATTGTAAAACATAACCTACACAGAATAAAAAACAAAAAGGCAAAACCAGCACCCAGCCTAGCTGACCTGCTTACAAGCCAGTGGCCTTATTGCATTAAGTAATTTTTCCCTGCCAGCAGGTGGACAACAGAAAGGGAATGAACCAAGACTTCTTTGGGAGGGAGTTTCACAGTCTGGGAAGAATAGCTGCGAAGGCCCTCTCTTGGGTTACCACCAAATGTGGCTAGGAGGTGGCAGCTCCCCAGAATAGCTTAAGAACATCACAATAACCAGTCTAAATCTCCTCTTACTCTACATAATTATGCTTGTTCCTCAAAAAGATACTTATCGCCGCTGCTGAAACAAAAAATGTTTTTTTCTTTGTGCTGTTCCTTTTTCATGTTTAAAAAGCCTTAAAATTGAAATTGGACAATTTTGCTGCCTAGCAATGGTGCTCCATGCCACATTTCCTCTTGAAATGTGTAGGTTCTGAAACATCTTTGATCTTATAGCTTATTATTGAGTTTGTTATAGAAACCTAGGTAAAAGCTTTCCATAAGAGGAAGAAGAAATATGTAATTATCCTAGATTTTTAAAAGATGTATTTTCTGTAGGATGCAAGTAATTGCAGCTAGGAGCTGGGCTCTGAATAACAAAAGTGAAAAACATTTACTGTATTAGTATTTGTCTGGTTGCTTCAAGGACTTATAAAAATTAGAATTCTGCAACCTAGTGAGGCTGTGGTATATGAATTGTATGCAAGATTGCTTAGTGTATTTAAGTAAAACACGTTAGTCAAGTTATACACATAGATACTTTCCTTTCCCTTTTTGTTATTCTTGTCAACCAGAGATAACATTCCTATGTCGATGCCAATTTTAGAAGTCCCACTGCTGAATATTAAAAAGTGATTTGCTTTCTCAAATGCTGAACACAGATTACTGATAATTCTTAAATGAAAGCACAGTGGTCAGAATTGTGTACCAAATTGGGCATGCACTGGAAAGCTCTTTAGGTTGGAGAATCGTTAACTTGAGATAAATTGGGCAGATTGGAGCATTGTTTCTCTTGGGGAAAGGGCAGACAGATGGAGGCATTTGTACATCTGAACAGCCCTGCAAGATCTCAGATGTCCCTGGAATGGCAGTTGTCCCTGGAGGAGTCTGCAAGCAACACTGAAATAGTTATGCGTCACCATGTGGCCAACATGTCAAACTGCTACACGAGAGGACCCATGAAGTCTTCTTTGCCAACTGTAACCAATAATAAGTGACCTTGAGGGTGGTACTACATAGCATGCAGTTGTGTGTTCCTGCCTTTGTGTAAGATAAAAGTGTGGCAGCCACTTTTCCTGTGGAAGCTCAGCTTCAGTGGAGAAGCTGGGAAGGACATGAAAAAGGCAGGGGTTCTTAACATGTTATCTGCTTCTCATGTATCCACTTCATACCCACAAGCCCTTGCTTTGCACTTTATACATTTTCCCTCAAGTCATTTGTCTGGATTGCTGCAGGAGGGCTGTGGTTACATGACGTGCAGAAGCAGATGCTTGTGCTAAAGGGAGAGGAAGCACCAGATTCCCCAAATTCTTCTCCCAAAGGGCCAAACTAACTGCATAGCCTGAGAATGCTGCTGCTGCTGTTATTGTAGTGCAAGCATGCAAGGCCTCAACTTGGATTGGGACCATTGAGAGGGATAGAGATTAAATCTCTCCTGCATATTTTCCCCTGATGTTCTACCACCTCATGTGTGAGAATAACAAAATAGAAGTCTCCATTTGCTCCAAGGGCAGGAAGGGGGGAATTTCACCTGCACATCGCAAGATTAGTGTAACCCTGATTACTAGCCCTTAGTGTTTTGGTGGACAAAAATGTACCATAACTCGTTGGACAGCTGTTTCAAAAAGGCAGGGAGATTGAATTTCTGGCAAAATGTAGGTAGCTAGGTTATCATGTCAGTTGAATTGTTCTTCCTTTTCTTTTCACTTTAGAAAAATAACTAGACTTAAGTGGTTGAAGCCCAGGTAAACAGTAGGTTGAAATTGTTTTGTGCAGCCTCTGTGCGGCTTAATAATTGCCTTTGAGTGCATCGTGTAAGATTTGAAGTTAATTGAAGATAATGGTGTGTCCCTTTCTTTTATGTGTTGTTAGCTAGTGCACTTGTTCTTTTTTCTGCACTGTTAGCTGTATAATGATTTTTGGGTGCTTTGTACTGTTTCCTTAGGGGGAGTACCTTTTCCCTAGAAGGCAGTGATCTGGAGGACATGCCTGGCAGCTTGAAAGTAACAATGGGTACTGTAAACCGGAGCGATGCATCTACACCAGTCCATCCAAGGTCACCAGCACTGAGCACACGTAGCATGACTGTTGGCTACAGCCAGGTAAGATAGCTTGACGCCAAAAGAGTTGCCTTAGGTAAGAACAAGGACTTCGTTTGTTCGTTCGTTTTTGAGTCTACTTTTCACTGAGCTAAGTCTGATCCATGGTTCTTCATAATGGAGGATTGGGCCCGCTTGATGCGAGTGGCCCCTTGCTACCAAAGTAGATACTGGGCCAAAGGATCCTAGACTAGCTTTCTCTTTGACATGTCAGCTTATGTGAGCAGGAATTTTTCTATGGAGGCAGAATGGCGCATGCGAGTTCCCGTCTTCAGTCTGAACTGGCACAGCCTAGACCCAGGTTTGCTTCCTTGGGGAGAGCTAGATCTAACTCACACAACACATCTGCCTGTCTGTCTCAAATCTTTCCAGGGAATTTTTTTGTGGGAAGCTCTTATTAGTAACTTACACCAAATCTAATGATTAAATTGGGTCTCAGATAAATTGGATATCAAAATCTAATCAGATTAAGATTGTCAGGGTGGGGGCACCGGATGTTCTGAAGACAAATTGGCAGAAATAATAAAGGGTTCGGAAAAAAAGGGGGCACATTTGCAAAATTATTTTGCAGATGGCAGTTTTTCTCCTGGCTGCCCAAACCCTGCAAATGCACTACAGATGCTGATACTTAACTCTGTTTCTTATGTCTAGCAATCTAGTTAATATGGCAATTACTGATAAATTGTCTTATTTTCACTCTAATGCAGTCATTTTTTATTTCTTGCTTGCCATAGCACTGTCAGATAGTCTTCCACTTGGGGGTTGCAGCAATTTATTTGTATTTATTATTTTACTTAAACAAATCAGATTATTTTATCAAAAAAAAAGTATGACTAAGGATAGGCACTTGTATGCTAATATTTTTACAAATACAGAGAAAAAAACACACAGAACATGAGACAAGTTTGCATAAAACTGAAAATGATGTTGCTAGTAAATAGAACAGTCTTGGAAATGTTTTAGAGGACAATTCTGTGTGAGTTTAGAAAGAGAAGAGGCTGCATCTCTAAACATGCTCTAGTCAAAAGTCTAGAACCTTGGTAGCTGTAGGGATTTACTTCTATGTAAACCTGAATAGCGTTAGGTCTTTATTGGGGTTAAACATTACTGTTTGAATATGAGCTTTCTGTAGCAGGTTATGTGGAATTTATTTATCCCTCTAACTTTGGATAGGATCCTTGCTTGAAAAATGGTATTGCAATGCCTGCAAGTGAAAGCATACCTGCAGATTTAGCAAAAAGGCATTCTGGGAAAGGTTCTAGACCTCCTTCCATTGCAGTATCTAGGACCTCTCTCTCATCTGGTAAGGTCTTTTTACTTAGTAGTGTTTTAATATATTTTGCATTGCTACAATTTTCTCCTGCTATCTTATCCCTTGCATTTCCTTCCAGTGTTTTCTTTTATGGAGTGAAATACCCCCCCTTATTTTGTTAGAAACATAAGGAACAACCTTCTATCAGTACTATTTGTCTGTTTGGTATCATCTTGGCTGTCCTGACTGGTAATGTCTCTTAAGGCACAGGTCACTTCCTGTCTGATCCTTTTACCTGGAGATGACAGAGAACCTGAAACTTTCTGCAACAAGAACAATGAACTATGTTTCCTCCTTTCCCATGGACAGGAGTGGCATTTGAAGCTAATGCATTTTTTAAAAATGCATGCCTGTTCTTTTAAACTTTTAAAAGCAAATATGAAGCAATTGCTTATAAGTATCTGCAAATTATAATATTTCCCAGAATGAGCCATTGCTTTACGCCTATTTATGCCTGTAGCTATTAAATACAAGAAAACATACTTCTTATCTGGTTGAATTTTATAGTCCTTTCATTTAATGGCAGTATGGTTTGCAAGAGTGTTTGCTCAGTTGTGTGAAGTCTGTTTTTATTACTTCTTTGTCTGGCTTCCCCAAAACAAAGCACAGCAGGAATGAAGAAAAGGCAATTCAGCAGTGAGATTCTTTGGTTCTAGTGATTTCCTCCCTCTGTCCATTTGAGGAGAAGAGGCTAAGAAGAGGTGCTGCAGGGAGCTGGAAATAGTTTGTGTAGCCCCAAGGTGTGCATGCATGCGCGCGCGCGCACACACACACACACACACACAAAATCAACAATATTATTAGAATGTTTGCACCATAGAATGGATTCATATTTCCCCTTCTTTTTCGTTTTGTAGAACACAGCAGGTCAGAGATAGACCTCAGTGGGTCCTTATCAGAAGGAAATGAGGATACTTTAAGTTTAAGAAGTAAATCCGTCCCTGGAACATTGGACCAAGAGCTAGTGAGTTAAAACCTGGCCACAAGTCTTTAATGCATACCATGTTTGCAGTGCTTTGATTTTACAGTGGTTAACAGACATTTTCTTTCAGTTGAATCCAATAATGCATTAATGCCACATTCCATACTGTAAATAGAAATATAACAAGAAAAATATCTGACATCATCAAGGCTACTGAAAATACACAGATTAACAATTGACAAAACTGAAATGGATATTGAAGTAGTGGAATACGGGAACTTAGTCACAGGAAGAATTTTAACGGAAAATGGTTTGAAAATACAGAGAGAATCTGAGCTGGTGCAGCCGCAAGAATTGGAATGTTTGAACAGGAACGGTCTATGAAAAATTACCAGATGAGGCAGATCAACAAATTCTGCCTACTCCTGTTCCTCACTGGATGACCATGGTCCATTCACTACCTCTCAGTCTAACTGATCTCACAGCTAGCTGTGGGAATAAAAATGGGGGGAATCAAGAACACTACCTTTTAGCTCCAGGAAGAAAGGAAGAAGTGGAAGCTTGAAAAATGCCATTAACTTAGAATATAGTACAAACAGCTCAAAATATGTCTTTTGGGGATATAAAACGGCCAGCTACACCGTATGGTCCTTATAGTATGCTCACACTGTACATTCATATGCACTTGAGATACCATCTATCTTCAACCCCACTCAGAGATTAAAGTTACAGTGACTTTGCTTTTATAGAATTTGGTGTGTAAATTGCTTATAGGTTTTACTGTAGGTGGTATATGATACATAAAACCAATAAATTATATTTCTTGCATGCTTACTAATTTAAATTGTGAATTAAGGGATCAGCTTGCTTCTCTTTATTCTGTCTGTATGTCTCTATCTTTTCCACCATGATTATCAAGAAAACAGACATTACCATAATATCTCTTCACACTCCCCTACCTTCAGGCCATTGCTGCAAGGCACAGGAGGGCTGAGGGAGTGGATGGGCAGTTTCTCCCTTCTGCTGTGCAAGAATGTGGGGAAGGGTGTCCTTGCTGGCCGGCAGGAATACAGGGTGGCCCCCAGGAGCTGACGGAACAGCTCTGGCTCTGTCAGTGGCCACCAACAGCTTGCTATTAGCCTGCAGAGAAAGAACACCAACAAAGAACAGAGGTGGTGTGGGTCATTCTGAGCAAGCAATTTGACTACACACGGTACACAGAAGTGGCAGTAGGTATTGTTACAGGCTTGCCTGCATGTGTTGACATGCATGGGTGCCCTACTGTGGGCCATGGAGCAACCAAACTGATTGCCCAGGTGTCTAGCTCTGTGCAAACTCAGGCGTGGTCTTTCTCTGTCTCTGAAGTGGGAGTGAAGGGGCTGTCACTGTACCTCCATGCTTTCCCCTTCCCCTCTCTTGTAGCTATGGTGCAAACAGGCTACCAGGGAAGCAAGGGATCACTCTTGCCAGGGGTCCAAACAAAAACAGGCCTCTTAAAATTGGGCTGAGGCCACATGAAATGTGATTGTTCAGCTCTGCTCAAGGTCTGGGTACTATAAGGGAGAGTTTAAACCTGCTTCCCAAAGCAGGGGATGCATATAAAAATTACGTGAAGCTAGCAATTCTGCATCTTTCTCATGAAAATGTTGTAGCCGTGCCAATGACTGAACTGTTCTTCTGAGCAAATGGTCCAGGGATGAGAGACCAGATGAAATACCATTCCTGCAGAGCTGTCCATGAGGTTCTGAATCAGCATACGAAAGCATCCCACTGTGTCCCAGCAGCTATGTGTGCTGCAGAGATGGTGGGTGTTTTTAGAGAAGGCTTTTATCACACCACTACCCTGCCTCATTCACAGAACTTCCTGGGGACAGGGGCAAACCATCACTGTTTTGCACTTATAGCCCTCCTGCATTTTCCCATCACTGCTAACATTTTTCCCTTTACCATATGAAGAAACATGTGGAATATCAGTGCAATAGCCTTCTAATAGAAAGCACCCAGAGGCCTTTGTCACAAAGCACCCCATATAGGCTCATGTATCTTATTCAGTTTCTTAGCTTTGCTGGGTGGACCTGTCCTTACTAGTTTTTCTTTGCCCATTAGGATTACTTGGATGATGATGAGGAAGATATTAATGGCATTGTGGCCTCTGACTACTTGAAGAGGTGCACCAATTTGTCAAGTGGATTATCAACAGTAAGTTCTCATTATGATGGCTCTACATATTTTTCCTTGAACACAATTACAGTTTCTTCCTGGTGTGTATTAGGCTGTTGATATATGCTTCGTGTATCTCATTCTTCTTTATTAAATGCATTCTTGTTTATTCTGAACTATTACTCCACTGATTGATTTTCAGCTTGGTCTGCCTTGCTTTTTAGTAGCAGCTCTGCAATATGACACCCCAGCATTTGTAACTTTTACCTTCCCTTGTGCAGCAGCCATTCTCTGAATGACTTTCCACCCCTGCCTCCACCATTCAATACTACTCCCTTGTCACTAATGACTTGAAACTTGATTCCAGAATGTGCTGAGCTTTCCTTCTATTTCTGATGTGTCAGATCCAAACAGCCTTAAGTGCTGGTTGAACTAGAATGTGAAGGAAAAGCCTCAGTAACACACAGGAGAACACTTGAACTATTGCTTTTAAGTTGTGCATCACAAGCATGAATCATCAAAGATCCCCAGGATCAAGGGAATTTAGAAATACTTTCAGTGCATAAAATAAGGTAGAAATTCCAACTCGAGAGATGATGCACCTATTAAGATATGAGTTATCATTGTCTTATGCATGGATGCAGGTATGTAGCCTGAGAAATGGGTCTCCTGCACCCACAAAGTTGCACAATGGGAATGTGGTGCTTTGTAAAGGAACCTCAGTAATCTAAAGGTGCCTGGTGAAGTCTTAAACTCCGACACTGGCTGGATAAGATTTTCAGCTGTTGGAAGAGGCTCCCTTTAATGTCTTTGCCGTTCCTGTGATGATCAGAATCAAAATATATTAGACACAATATGACATTATTAAATTTGCTCCATTTGTATAATATATACAGGTTGCAGTTCCCTTACACAGAAGCTGAAGCATCTATGCTGATGATACTCATGCAATGTGTTGTTGTTGTGTTTAATAGAGTAGGCACAGCCTAACTGAGACGCTTGCTTTAATGAAAACAGAGTTATAATCTCAATTATGTAAATAGCCTGAGAGACATCCAGCATATCTGGAAAAATAAGACTTTACTTAATGAATTGTTTACATACAATTATTATGCTAACATGGGAGCTATAGAGTTAATTGGGGAAATTAGAAGATGTAACTGGGGAAAAGTTCACAGTAACCCCTAAGTGTATATGCCAACTGCAGGTGAAGGCTTCAGAAGATAGAGAGATCTCAGACAGAGTACCTGGGCTTCGATAGGAGCACCAGCCTTACCACCCAGAAACTCCCCCAGAGCCCTCTGGAAACCACCAGGATGGTCCAGCCTCTGCAGGGTGAACCTTTTAAAAGGCCCTCTGCCCTTGAGGAGGGGAAAGGGAGCTGAATGTCTAAACCTCAGTAGGAAGTGATCTGACCATGACAAGGGGGTTGATATTAATCCCCCTACTTCCAGCTCACTATCCTCCTGTCTAGTTGAGAAAACAAGATCAAGACTATATCCTTTTACATGTGTTGAGCCAATTACATGTTGAGACAGCCCCATGGTTTTCATGGCAACCATGAAGTTCTGAGCCACCCCAGGTACAACATGGAAGTTCAGATCCCCCAGAACCATCATCCTGGGGGTCCCCAATTCCACATCTGTTGCTACCAACATCAGCCTCATGATAAATAAACTACAGCATTCCTTTAGTCTTGCAAGAGTGAAAGTATTTTTCCTGTAAACTTAATCTCAGATTCATTGTTACAGAGTAAAAATAACTGCTCACTTACGTATCAGCAGTCTTTTCTGTAGCAAGCACTTTATTACCATATTTCTGATATCTAGGCATATGATCTCTTGATCCATTTTGTTTTCTTAAAACTTTCCTTGCATTTCTGAATTTCTGTGCTAGCTATATGATCCTTTCCTTTCCTTTCCTTTCCTATCCTATCCTATTTCCAAGAATTCTCCTTCAAGTTCTGACAGGAAATGGACTTACTTAAATGTTCCAGAAGCAGATGGTGATACTGTAAGTTCTTCTGGTTTTCTGATACATCAGGGGCTTCTTTTTGTGTTGGTCTTTTATTTTATAGTTGAATATATATTTCTGGTAATTGTTACTCATTTCCTTATTAATTTACTAAATGAATAAAACAGCAACTACTATTTTCAAACATTGTCATGTTACCCTTGAAAATGAATAATTCTAGTAAAATTATAACTATCCTATCCTTGCTGTAAAATACTCTAGGAAATTAAGGAAGAGGAAGCATTAGATAATGGTATGGTGCTCTACATGAAATTGAATCAGACAGGAACTTTTATTCTTACCCAACTTGTTGGCATGCAAGAATATTTTTGTTGCTGGAACTTGTGGATGCTACTTCATAGTCAGTTTCTCTAATCTTTGAGTGTTCTTGGGGAAACGGTAAGGTGCCACAAGACAGGAGAAAGTCAAATGTTATCCCTGTCTTCAAAAAAAGGAGGAAGATATGCTTGGAAAGCAACAAACTGGTCAGTCTGACACCAACACGAGAGATTTCTAGAACAGATTATTGAGCAGTTCATTTGTGAACATCTAGAAAGAATGTACTGATTGCTAGGAGATACCGTGGTTTTGTCAGCAATAGGTGATGTTAGACCATCCTTATTTCCATTTTTTATTATTAATAGTTTGTGGGATCATGGGAATGCTGTGAACATAAAATTGTCTTGATATCAGCAAGACGTGCTTATTCTTGTTGACAAGATGGTACAAAATGGTTTGAGTGATATTAGTGCTAGGTGGTTTCACAGCTGGTTTAACACCCGTGCCCAATCATTGCTCATTAATGGTTTTGTATCAGCCTGGAGGGAGGTCTCAACTGGAGTATCACAGAGCTCTGTCCTAAAGGCCCAGGGCAATTCAGCATCTTTATATGTGATAATGCTGTCCAGTTTGCAGAATAGAGACAGGGAAGGTCAACCTAACACCACAGAAGATTCAAAATTATCTTGATGAGCTGGAACAGTAGGTGAAACCAACAGGAAGAATTTCAACAGAGATAACTAGAAAATACAAAATCTAGCTACCAAAACAGACACAAAAACAAGAAACCCTCAAAGACACAAATAAAGCAGTACAATACAAAATACAAATGGAACAGTACAGCTGAAAAGGAATGACATTTTTGTAACAAGCTGAACTGGAGCAATCAATGTGATATGGCTGCTATAAAAGTGAATGCAGTCTTAGCATGCATTAACAAAACCTTCCCCATGGAGTGCTGGGCATGTGTTTGCAAGGTGGAAATAAGCCACCTCAAGCTGCTTGAAGAAAAGGAAGGATATAAGTGTCATATATAGCACACAAAGAACTGTTTTTTCAACTATCCTAGGGAAAATAGATATGAAAAGGATTCTGCGTATTGATGTGTAGGTTGTTTATCATCGGAGTCTTCTGTCTATAATACATCATTTGAACATTCTTGTTCTCCTTAGTCAGATATTTCAGTGAAAGAAGAGATGAATAGTTATTGTAATGTTAGAGTAACATTAAAATATGACTCACAAAAGATATGATGCAGTTTGTCAGATTGCTTTTCTCTCTTGTCCAGACCAGCATTAATAGTATGATGAGTGTGTATAGTGAAACTGGGGACTATGGCAACGTGAAGATCAGTGGTGAAATTTGTCTCCAAATTAGCTACAGCTATAAAACAGGAGCCCTCAACATCCTTGTAAAGAAATGCAAGAACTTGGCCATAGCAGATGAAAAGAAGCAAAGAACAGATCCGTAAGCAAAAAAGATCCTTTAATTTTGTATTTAGTCTCATAATTTAAATCATGTTGATTGTGAGCCTGCATAGAGAAATACTTGATTCACAGTCTTCTCCTCAGTGCAAATGCTTCTGGCCCTCTGGTGGCCTCCCAGGTAGCTCTGTGTGTGTGGAGAGCTCAAACAGCCCTCAGTTGCGGTTTGCAGAAAGTGAGAAACAGCAAGAGTCTCTCGCTGTCTTACCTTTTCCAAGAATCACTGCACGTGAGAAGGGTCTTTGATCTCTTCCGGCTGCTCTGTGCTTGTGAGAGAGCTTTGGAGAAAGGTGGGGTCCTCTCTGGCATGCTGCAGATGGGAGAGCATAAGAAGCAGCGGAAGTGTCTCATAGTTGAATACTTGCACACTGCAGTGCCAGTGAGGGATGGCTGCATGCTGGCTTTAGAGCAGTGGAAAAACTATAGTTTCCCTCTTTGTGAACAAACCATGGTGAAGCTTCGGTTTCCATGCTTTCCCTTCCACTCTTTTACAACCAACAAGGAGAGACCAGAAGCTTTTGAACTAACCATCGTTCTCTGTGATATCCAGCATCCAAATTATAGCATCTCGGGCTGGATGTCACCAGGAACTATGGCTAATTTAAGAGTGGAACAAGTGAGCTCAAGCTCTGTTGCCTCTCTTCTAAGCCATCCAGCAAGTATGGGGGAGAGGGGTTTTAGCAGTGAAGTGGGATTTTTCTCATTGCACTGAGGTTTGGGGAACAGAAAAATCAACTGGAGTCTCCCTATGGTTCTTGTTTCTTTCCCTAACCCTAGCCCTATACCCCAGCACAAACTAGTCTGGTGAGGCTTGTCTCTTCCAAAGTGTTCTGCACCTGCCAGAGGTGGTGGGCAACAGAGCATTCATGGTGAGAAGAAATGGAGGCTGGATAGTCAGCTGAACCAACACTTGCAGAATCTTGTTGGTGCTACAAGCATTTTTAATAACTTGTGTGATGCAGTTTGTAAGTGGGTGGCATCATGTTGTTAAATGTGCCATAAAAGTGCCTAATCATAGAAAATCAATGTGCCAGGGAGAAGGATAAACTAGAATCCTTCTTTACATGCTACCTTATGATTAATGACGGGCTTCACATGAGGCATTATGCCATGCTGGTTTATAAGCCTTGGTAGTTGGCCATGTTGCCTGAACCCAGCCTTCTTCCCACAGAGTGGTTTATAATGGGTGACTTATTAACCTCCCCAGCTCATCATGGCTTGTAACCCTAACCCTTCACCTTCCCAAGTGTGGATAACTTCTTTAAAAGGTCAAGCCACAACCTGTACTAAATGAGTTGTTGTGACTCAAGAAATATCTCAGTGCTCCTTCAGGGTCTGTTGGAAGGCTGAGGGGAGGAGGGTGAGGCACATGAACTCTGCTCTGCCTGATCCTCTGTTAGGCACCAAGGGATTTTACCTGCAGTGGATGGTTATAATTCCCAAGGGAGTTAACCTGTGGTGCAAGCTCAGCCAATATGGAAGAACATTCAGTCTTGTCAAGAGTTATTCCTAGTCTGAAGCCAAGTAAAACTGGGCTTAAATTGTAAATTGTGAGTGACTGAATAGAGCTGTATATTTTGTCATGTATCATAAGGAGCTTGATTTGCATTTAGGATCACAGTCATGCCGCAAGAATTTCTTGTGTGCATGTGTGAGGTGGGGGAGGGGGTAGCATTTGGTGGATTCTGTTAATGGTTTACTACCTAATCAACAGCTATGTCAAAGTGTACCTCCTGCCGGACAAGTCGCGTCAGAGCAAAAGAAAGACGAAAATCAAAAGCAATAGCACTAATCCAGAATTCAATGAAACACTGAAGGTGAGAACTGGAACAGAGCCCAATATCATATCAAAAATGACCCTATTTCCTATATGGTCATTTGACAGGTTATATGTCTTTAGTATCAATTTTAAATAGGTTTTTCTTTAGTGTTTTGAATTAAAGACCTTGCCATCCTTGTTAGAGGGCTTTTGTGGGGAGGATGGTAGGATGGCCATTGATTTAGAAGAGGAATTATTTTCTCTTTATTTTTATTATTATCCTCTATTTTGGATAGCCTGTTCCTTCTCCCACTTTTTTGTAGGTGGAGAAATGTCAAGAAAAGTGTTTTCTCATAAAAATCACAACAGATTTTAGGGCTGAAGGTAGGTCTTAAAGATAACACGAAAATGGGCCATAAGCTTAAGAGCTGAAGTTCTGTTCCCTAACCATTCAGCATGAAGCATACAGGAATACATTTCTCTTCCTCCTCTCTTGTTATTGAAAATTCAGTACTGGGGAACTTAAAATCAAACTTAAATTTATCACAGTCTTAAATGCCATATTGTCAGGTTTTATAGAGCTTTTTCACTACATTAGTTTTCAACCATCTTGAACTAAGCCAATGGGGAGGTCAGATGGAAGTTGGCTTAGTTGTAGGTCAAAATATCAGGAGGGCTACAAAGTTGCCCATTTCTGCACTATATGTAATATAGCTTTCTTTGAAACACACACACACACACACACACACACACCATTTATCTCAGTTTATCCAAAGCTGGGAGGTCAGTTTGCAACAGGAAGGAGATAAGCCCTTGAGTATACCTCCCTGTATGATTTAAGGTGCTCATATTTGTCTACATTGTGCCCTGTTATAATCACAGAATTCTAAGAACTCCTATGACTTTAGTAGGCAAAATCTAGCCAGTGTATCAGAGTCTTCTGCTACTCTCTAATATTTCTGGTTGTCCATTTTTGTGTTGTTTTGTTTTACAAAGCAAACTTCCAGACTCCATGATCTGAGGAAAGGTTAAAAAAAACAAAGCTTCCATAGAAGTTAATGGTCAAAAAGGGATTTCAGGAAAGTAACTGAATTTTATAGATCTCTTCCTAATATCAACCCTGACTTATTGATTTGGTACAGCTTAGCAGCAGAAAAAATATTTATTCTGTGCCTTGTCTCTCAGCTTCTGGTAACTTCATGAATATAAGATTGTAAGAGGATGTTCAGTTTTGGAACCTTAGAGCCTTCCATTACAAACATGTGCCTTTTTTTAAAACACTCAACAGTACATCATCAGCCATACACAGCTTGAGACTCGGACCCTGCAGCTTTCTGTCTGGCATTATGACAGATTTGGGCATAACAGCTTTCTTGGAGAAGTGGAAATACCCTTGGACTCCTGGAACTTTGAAAATGAGGCAGATGAGTGGTTTATGCTTCAGCCCAAGGTAAGGATTTCCAGTCAGTTTTCAGAAATGCTGTCTAGACATGTGTTTAGCTTTTATGCTAGCACTTGCACAAACGAGTTACAATATAGGCATAGTTATTAATTGGAAAGCAACATTTTGCAAACAAGAGGCTATTGGAATGAAGAGGCAGAGAAATGTTTCCCATGTTGGCTCATTTTCTGTGCTGCTTTATGTGAAACTGGTCCCTGCGAGGGAATATTGGGTCTGACCCAATTAGGTTATTCCTTTGATTTTCAAAGACAAGCAGTTATTGCAAGAGCAAAACAGTCAAGGAACTCCAAAGACTGATCATCTAATGCCTCCCAAGGGTCATGAGGCAGCAACTTCTGCAGCTCTTCCAGATCTATCTTGCTCTGTCTCAGCAGCCTAGGGGATTAGCTACAGGAAGTGTTATCACCCTGCATTTGCAACCTAGCTTCTGAAATTCTTTCCTTCTACATTCATGCACCTGAAGAACAAATAGGGAAGGAACATTTCAGGGGAAATTTCATTTCAGAAGGAACGGTTCTGAAAATCAGTTTGGCTGTGGAGGATGGGTGGATGGGTGGATGGATGGATGGATGGATGGATCTTGCACAAGTCTGCAGCTGGGATACTTTATTTGCCTGCACTGGCAAAAGCAGATACATATTATCTCAAAAGAAAGGATCTTGTTCTTAGGAAGACAAATGCATCCCACATTTTGTTGACCAACTCAAGAACTCTGCTACTTTGCTTAAGAAGTAGAAGGCATATGAAAAATGTTCTCAAACTTCAAGGTTATTTTTTGTGATTTCATGTAGTTAAGCTTGCAAAGGACTTTGGTTACTCAAGCTTATGAGACACAGGAGGTGGTGGTTCAGTTATCAGCAATTCACCTCCCTGCATCCCCTTGCATTACGCTGCCCATATTATGTATGTACTTCAACGCATGCACAATCCCAATGAATCTCTGAACTTTTGTAGAAAAATCTGCATGGTTCATTTTACATATTTACAAAGCGCAAAGGAAAGATATATTTATCTCAGACTTTGTTCTGATTTGCTTCATCCTTTCAGATGGAAGCTGTAGCTGATAGTGGCCTTCAGTACAAAGGAGAGTTGATAGTTGTCTTACGGTATATTCCTCCTGAGAGAAACCTAACACTTCCCCTTGGAGAGAATCAAGGTAAATAAGCATTGATAGGATGAGCACTTGGTGGTAATGTTTTCTGTGGATAATTGAAATCCACCATCTTGTGCCGACATATGGCATAAAATTACCAGAGTGTAGAAGATTGGAATTGCCTGGTATTCAGTAAGTTACGGCTCTCTAAAGGAATTTTAAAGCACAAATGGTTTTATTTTGCTGCAGTAATGAGGCCTCGGGAATACAAATTTTGGAAGCAAGTATGATCTGTCAGCTTTCCTAAATGAATCTAATCTGTTTTATTGGTTGCTGGTTCCACAGCCTTTTGCTAAAATCTAATTTTGCTGCTGCTGACTGAGGAGGCTTGGCATTTCCACTGCAGACAGAATACTAGAGAAACATGCTAATGATATCTATAGAAAATAGACAAGAACCAACGTTGTAGTGTAACTAAAATGCATCCTCTTGTGAACACAAACTGCTCCTGATATTTATCCAAAGGAGATGGGCAAACCACATTACATCTTATGATCCCTTACTGGTTTTGTTCCACTTTGTCTGTCTCCCCACCATTGCATATTTGTTCTGTACAGAGAGTTGCTGACGATCCCTTTCAATATCCCACCTTCTGATGAAAATTATATCCTTTAATTTTGTGGGGCTTTTGTGATTGAGCCATTGTGCATCCATTTACTTCTTTATGCCAGCTACTAATTCCTTTTAGCAGAAACTAAACCTAAGTACATGGCAACTGCATCTGAAATCATTTCCCTTTATTTGATAAATGGCATCATATTTATCTGTGTGCATTTGGCAACTTAGATTTTTTTTTAATAATAAAACATATTGTGTTACTTCGTAGTGGAAGATTGGGTTGGAGGAAGTCTTTGAAGAAATAAAGGAAACATGGTATACAGGTTGTCTCCTGTCCTGGGAAAGAATATTGCTTGGTTTGACACATGTCTATGTATGTGTATGGATTTCTAGTCTGGGATGGCACAACATTATTTAAAAGACTGGAAGTTTATTCTTGAAGTAGATTTTCTGCTTTTGTTTATTCTTCTTAAAGGGAAGAAGAGTTCTAAGAAGGGAAAGAAGGCCAACTCACAGTTACCCTCAGGCGGCATATTAGAAGTTGTCATCAAGGAAGCCAAGAATTTAACGGCTGTGAAATCAGGTGGCACTTCTGACACATTTGTGAAAGGGTAATTTCTTTCATGTCTTCTGCTTAGCATGCCTGTTCACATGACATATTTCTGTATTGAATAATAATCTGTTTGGCCATATTTTTTCCAGTCATATAACTCTGTGTTATTTTAGTGGGTGAGACAGGTGTCTTTCGCTCACAGCACTGTGACTGGCTCTCTAAACCAAACTTTAGCAGTCATGTTCTACCACGTTTGCAGACCACTGTATAAAATAAGTAAAATCACAATATATTATTTGATAAACCTTTTGTGTACTCCCACCCTCTAATTGTCTCTTTTTTTAGAAATTAAAGAGCCGCACATAATTTATCCTCCTTCTCTGCTTCTTGTTCTTTAATCAGTTACTGACACTACTCTGGTCCCATTTTTGGCACCACAAATATGGTTTTATTCTCAAGTGTTATATTGGCCTCTTTCTAATCCATCATTCTTTAAGGGTCAACTTGACTATTTCTGTAGCCGCTGTCACATTCATAGCAAGCCAAGAATGTCCTCTTCTTTTTTTCCCTCCTCTCTTAGGTACCTGCTTCCTGACAACAGCAAAGCATCCAAACACAAAACCCATGTAATAAAAAAGAGTGTGAATCCCCAGTGGAATCATACCTTCACTTTCAGTGGTTTGAATCCTAGAGATATACACAACGTCTGTGTAGAACTCACTGTTTGGGACAAGGAGTCTCTTGCCAGCAATATCTTTCTGGGAGGTGTTCGCCTAAGTACTGGAACTGGTAAGAGTGATAATTTGGACAATGCTGATTCCTACATCACCTTGGTGGGTGGGAACTTACTGGGCAGAAGTCAAAGGGGCACTGTGAAATGAGAAGGCTTCAGAATTCTCATTTGTAGAACTGGTCAACTTTCTGTCAGATAGGGGCATCAAGTTCCTTTCCCAAGCACCCCTTGCAGCTTTTAAGCCTGTTCTAAAGACTTTTTCCCCTTTTCTACTGTTAAAGCTCTTATTTTATTAAGTGCTGATTTTATTACACTCTGTTGCTTTGTTCTTTGTTTTGCTTTTATCATTCTTAGTATAAGCTTTGTGTCAGCTTGCCCTAAAAGCTAGATTAATCTAATAAATATATTTGCACGTACGCTTGAAATTCCCATACCTCACCTGCATGTACATCAGGATGCCATGTGGTTTCCATTAGTTACAGGAGAGAAGATGAATCTACATGCTATGAAGAAGCAGGAAAAGAGCAATTGTGGATCTGATTGGGTCCTTCATGCTTCTGGTATAATATATGAAGGAGGAATGTGTTAGTAAAACTGTTCTTTCAACACATAACCAGAAGTAGAAACAGAGAGATAGGATTGGCCAACTCTACTGTTCTATGATTCATTGCATCCTCATGCCTTACAAAGTGAGAGACTGCTTAGAATTCCTATCAAGTGTTATTGTTGATTTAAACTCATATGTAACATCAAGTGCACATCTTAGTTAGCTTTCAAGCGTGCTCTAAACCCAAGGGACTTTCTTTTCAATCAAACCATCCTTGCAAGACTTCAGGCCAGGGGTGATTTTTTTTAAGGTCAGCTGTTTCCAAGGCTAATAGGCACTGGGGACAACATATTATTTCTAGTTAAGTGCTTCACATTTTGTCACTGTCAAGCCTGTGGAGGCAAACACAAAATTACAGCCTAAATGTGAACACTGTGTCCTTTTAAAATCAAACCCACAATGTGTTGTAAATGTAGGTATGAAATATACTTTTCATACAAAACCTCATTTGTTGCTTTTACCATTCATTCAGAGAGAGAGAGAGACTTAAACCATCATCCTTAAAATCATGTGTTGCACATTCATAATACTTCATTTAAAAAAACAAATTAGGTTTCATTGTTGGTCTTTTTCCTTTTATGGCTTAAACGATGTCCATTCTTTAATAGATTGCTATGTTTCCTTCTTCCTAACAAGAAGGACAAAATGTAGTTTTCAAATACTATAGGACAAACTTTATTTGATAGATTTTTTTTAAATGATATTTTTCTCTGATCACAAGAAATACACCGACCTCACCATGTCTTGTAATTTCTAGGCATAAGTAATGGCAAAGAAGTTGACTGGATGGATTCTCAAGGGGAGGAGCAACTTCTTTGGCAAAGAATGATTGACTGTCCTGGAGATTCAGTGGAAGGCATATTAATGCTAAGATCCAGCATGGGAAAACGCAGACTTTAAGAATAACTTACTTTCACAAGAAATATGCTAGTATATTGCTAATGTAAGTACATCCCTTGTGATGAAGATGATCTCCAGTGGAACAACTGCAATATTTTGCACATGTCAAATTGAGAAGACAAAGACTCTTCAATTGGGACTTTAAATCTCCCAAAATGGAATATAAATGCATGGAGCACTTTCCTACATCTACATTCTTATCCTTGTCCTACTTTTTCCAGCTGAAGATAGCAGCTTCCAAGGCTGAATTTCCTGGGTGTGACTGGGTAGGAGGAATAAGACCTTCTGAAATCATGTACATACCATAGATCGCCTTTAAGTTAGGATTATTTTGACATGTTTTCTCAGAAAAAATAGCAATTAATAAATGAGCCTGAGTTAGACCCATTTAATCTACGTAATCCCATTGCAGACAAATCTAATGGTTGGAATGAACTAAGGGGGTGAGAGTCAAAGAGCAAGCATACCTACTTCCATCTACTTCTCTCGTTCAAGTTGTGCACAGTCATTTCCATGAATGGTTCCCAGTAGTGGGATTGGTAAGAAAACAGTTCAGGGATCTCCAGTTACCTACTCATGACTAGACTTGCTATTGGGCACAGGGACTGTAGGTTAGAGAGCAGCAAACATTTCTGACTATAAATGAAAGAACACCACAAATCTTATCAGCAGTGCAAGCCCTATATTTCAGCACTTGCTTAAAAAAATTCACACTGGAAGGTACTAATCAAGAAGGCACAAGAAATAGTTGCCATTTTCGTATGATGTCTTGTTGTGCAAATACCATGTGAGGAAACAACACACCATCTGAGAGGAAGAGAGAATTTTTGTGCTTCGTATTTATTCGTGATGTATTTATCACTTAATTTATTCTCTGCCCGAAGTGAGGGTCACTCTGCCCTAAGAGAGGTGTGTTCCAGTAGCTTTTGAGCACATCCAAAGCAGGAGATTCTACTCAGTAATTGAACAACACTAAGAGGATGTTTCTCCAAATCATTGACATTAATCTACCTCTGTGTTGTAAGAATCTGTGGACGAGATGAGCAGTGGTTCCCTGTCCTCCCAAAAACCTTTTCAGTACTTGAAAACTGTAATATTATTGTCCATTATAATTATAATCCCCACCTTTAAGTTGTTTGTGTCCAGCTCATTCAAGCTTTTGCTGTAGGATTCTACATAGGCCTTAAAAACATTGCTACATAAGGGTCAGAGTTGGGGCATGGAGGGGATTTGGAGAACAGCTTTGGCTATCTAGCAAGTGTGTCTTCTCTCTCAACCAGGCTCAGTGATGAGAAGGAGCAGTGCAGCACAGTACACCTGTTGCAAGCTTCTTATCCTGTTTCTCTGTCACTGGAATTCAAGTAGCACATTGCCACAGCTCCTCCTCGGTCAGTAATCTGCTTGGAAGTGTCAAATGGTACCTTCTTGATTACATCTTGAAGAAGAAGAGCTGGAACATTTACTTGAAGAACCAGAGCAAGAATAAGATCTCTTCACTTCGCCTTGATGTCTCCTTTGACAGGGTCCCGGCACTGATAGAAAGCCCCAGCTTCCAGCTTCGCTATCAATGGGAACAATTATTGCCATGAGCCACACCAATGTTTGCCATTGAAAGTACCAATATGGAGGGGCTGGTTCTGCCAAGGGAAGTCCACGTTTCCATCTGCCAGATAGTGTTCAAGCCATTTCTCTGTCTTTATAGGTCTCTGAAATTCACAATGGTGGAAGAATGTTTTCATTCTTAAAATGAACCCAGGCAGGAGTATCATTTACTCTGAAATAAGTGGATCTGTTGGGGACAGTATGCAGGCCTATGTTGATTCAAAAAGTTTGACTGAGGGTTGGACCCAATGGCCTTCTGGCCCTCCCAACTCTATGATTCTATGAGTCAGACACAGAGTCCCATTGATTTTAGTGGGGCTTCTCATGTATGATTTAAGCCCAAAGCAAACCCTGTGTTTATAGGTTCAGTTTTGCATTTCAGTAAACCATAACTGTGATTTCTTAGTGGGGGAAATGTATAATCAGATGGATGAAGCACAGCAGTTATTTAGAAGCAGCATAGCATCAGAAGCCTGGGCACATTTCAGAGTTCAAAATTTGCATTCTATTTGCATTCTACAATTCTTGCCATAAAATGGCTTTTGCTATATGGTGAAAATTGACACCATGATATACTAGCAGCCACTCAAAGGCGAGGATTGTGAATAGTATGCAGATACATAGGTGCAGCACAGCCTGTAGTATTAAAATCTGTTTTCTCTGATCATTTTGTATCCTCCTTTAAACAAGTGTGAACAAATGAAGGTGATTGGTTACATATCTGGCTTTTTTAAATGATTCGGATTGGTTTGCTGTGTTGAGTCATGATACATTGTGCACGTCTCTGATTGTTTTACATGCCACTCAGTAAGTTCTGGATTTAAAAACAAACAAACAAAGCATTGATACTCTTTGAAGTGTCAGAAGCTGAATGAACACCAATTTAATCAATTCATTCTAGGTATGATACTGTATGTCAGAGATGAATAAGTAGTGCAGGCATTGTGGCATCATATAAAATATTCCTCAGATATCTTTGAATATTGTTACCCAACAGAATCACAGAACATTAATAATACCGATACTTTTAAATAATGTATTATTACATACCAGTTCTTGCAAATATTTAACTATAGAATGATTTCATCTTTTCCTGTCTAGATGCCTGTTCTATACTGAAAGACTAAAAGTCAGACTGATAAAACTGTATGGCTGCCTAGGACATAAGAACAGCAGATCCTATCAATTCACAGTGTATGGTGTGCACCAAGTTGTAGCTTAAGATATGCCACTGTGTCTGGACTGCACCCGGCTCATTGGCTAGCGCAATAGGATAAATCCAGGATGTGCCATCATGGAAGATACCGCAGTCTGATTTTTGGGATCTCCCTGCTCCTGCCCCACTGTTCAGCCTGTTTAAGCAGGGTTCCTCACTGGCTGGCTGCATTCACACATGACACCAATATCCTGGGGCCAGGGATCAAACAGACACATGGTTTCCATGAGTTTCCACTCCATCTGTCCTCCTAATAGTGCCAGGTATCCCATCAGCCCTGTGACTGAAAATCAATCCCCACATGCACTGTCCTACCTGTGTCACCTGTTCCTCCCTCATGGCCCATACACTCACCTGGGCATGGCCTAAGCCAGCTGGCTTTGTTGGTGGTGGTGGTTTTGCTGCTCAGTGAAACAATTGTTTGCTAGAGTAGCACTGCTGATCCAGAGTAGCACTAGAAGAGCACTCCCCCTGCTGGCCTGCTCTAGAAATACACCCACCCATCCCACACCTCTCCCCTCACCCTCGCTCCACATCCACACTCCCTCATGTTCAGGACTTGCACATGCTGCCTCCCTGCTGCAGCCAGGCACACGGAGGGCATCAGCATGGGCATCCATGCAAGGGGCAGAGGGGATATGTCCTGCCTGGCAGCCCTTCCCAAGGGAGCACTTGTGAGCATCTGCCAGGGAGAGTTTTTTGGCCAGCTGTTTAAACAGTGCTTGTTGTGCAGCTAGGATGGGGCGTTAGGGGGCAAAAAGGGAACTATCTGTCCCTGATAGTTCCAAGGACTGTCAGGGACAAGAAAGGACCAGCGATGCAGGTGGGAGGCAGAGTGGGAGTCATGGGCTCCTTGGGGTGCTCACCCTGTTGATGTACCATGTGTTCCTTGCATACAGGGCGGCTTTCCTGAGAGACCAGAGCTTCCGTACATAAAACAAAGGCAGCAGGTTAACCAAGTTCTACTCAAATGCAGTGGGGCAACCAGGAAGGAATGCTAAGCACAGCCATCCTTAAGGTCACTGCTTCTGAAGGCAGACTGATGCAATGTCCTCCTCCTCCTGCTGAAATTCTGAAGGCAGCCCGCGAGCGGGGTGGGGGCACAGAGCAGCCCGTCAAGCAACTTGCACAGGCAGGAATGTCTGCTTCAGCCATCGCTGCTCTTTACAGAGAACTTCAAGGAAGAAACATGGAAACCATGTGGTTTCTTGCTTCAGATGCAAAAACTAGCCATGGTGAGGCATGAAAACCATGGAATAGATCACTGTTTCTGTGTGTGGTTCCATGGAGACCATTTTCATCATACTTGCTGGGAACAGACAGAACGGCAGGCCATGCCACTGCGGTTTCCACTATGGCATGTCATTATCTGAAGCCAGCCAAGGGAAATTGAAGCATTGGGGGGTGGGGGGGGGGCTTCTCTCTGCTGATAATACCTGGACTTGTAAAAAGAAAATGGATTTGTGGCAATAAACTGTACTAAATGCATGCTGTAACCACTGTGCTGCAGAATCTGACCCTATTAGTTTTCAGATGGCATGGGCAATGTAGAAAAATACCGTAGTTCAATTTTTTTAATTGGCAAAATGCTTTGTTAAATGTGTAAATGTATTTTTGTTAGAACTCCATTTGGAATACCTACACTGGACCTGAACACTAGCAAATCATAAAGTGGAACTGATTAAGGTCTGTTACAAATGAGGCAGAACTTTTTCACCCCCTACCGAGCTTGCTTTATTATATGTTCCTCTGTAACTGCACATTCAGATTTATGGATTGTGGGAAAAGATCTAACTAATTTCATTTGTACTATTGTAAACCAAGGTCTTATTTTGTGTATAATTAAAAACTTTCACCATGTTAAAACTTTAAATTGTCATTCAAGAGAAATGTTTAAACAGAAAACACATAGGATACTATTTTCTATACGTCTGATAGCTGAGACATTTGCTTTTTGGTTGGAAGTGGTGACATACTCTTCACACTTGTAATGACTAACAACAGAAACAGAGCATGCTTTGGGCCTGTTCACATGATCATGACATGGCTTGTGGAGTGATGCAAACCTGGTGATGGTTGGTTGCTACTCCCAAATTCCTACAACGAGTTGGTTAGTTAACCATGGCAACACCCTTTGGCTTCACACAACAAAGCAAATGTGGCTGGAGAGGGCAATTATGCAAATCCTCCCCAGCACAAGGCCATTGCTTCTGTACCCCTCTGAGCTCACACAACGCTGCCCTGAGCTTCTGCATGGCTCATAAGAAAGGAATTGTGCCCAAGTTGTGGGGATTCCCATACCCGACAGTCTGACCCTCGGACCAGGCTCCTGTAACCCTCTAAGCCAATTCATGCAACACCGATTAAGGAGCCATGGCGGCTTGTTCAGGCATGTTGAGTGGCAGCTAGTCAACCTCACCAGAAGCAGCTTGTTGTGAGATCGGAACCTGTTGAAGGTGAGTGGCTATTCAACTACCCAGAACCCTCAGTCCATTCTAGGGTTTATTAACCACCCTTGTGTCATCTGATCCTGCTCTCCATGTAGCATTTATGTGGAGGAACCAGAGAAGTGTGCAAAGGCCTAAATCTGAATCTAGTCCTGTATCTTTCTTATCCACTAGGTTAAAGAAGAGTAATTCTGAATAATTAACTGACAGCATTCCTAAATTGTCCAGTGAGATAAGCATACTTCATTTTCCCCTACTACCAAGAAATTAACTGTGATGTTAATTGGCTAGGAGCCAAGGTTCAATCCAATCCTTCATACCTAATTATGTTTTCCCAACATCTGAAATCAGGCAAGGGTGGTTTCACTCACAGCTGCTCAAGAGTGGATTATACCATACTCAAATACTTAAGGATAATGCTATAAAAATGCAAAACAATATTTTTATTAATAAAAGATCTGTAAAAAGAAATGAACTTATTTATACAGGAAGTATGTTTAAAATAATTTGGTAGACCTAATCAAGTGAATGCAATACTTTCACAAGACTTGCTGAAGAAAATAAATCTCTGAAAATAATGAAGAGGCATCACTTGTATGTTAAATGAAATGTTCCAAACACGCGCAAAGCAAAACACATACATTAAAAACCAGTTATGTACATCAGTGACTTCCATAATGCCATGCTCTGTGTAGCACCAGAAGAAAAATTAGGCAGCAAAAATACCGGCATATGAATGGCTGTAATCCAGAATCAGGGACAGGACTGGCCAGCTTCTGCTTGTAATTTCATTTCTTCTTTTCTTAAAGGGAAAGTGTCAATGAGAGCAAAGAGTTCAGCAGGGGTTGCTGGGAAAGGATACCGCTCTTTGTCCACACCATGTTTATCGATCACCACCATGTTGAAGTTATAGTGGGGGATACGAAGCAACAGCCTGAGGATATGAAGAAAGAACCAGATTTGTTAACGCCTTTGATTTTTCTTAAAATAAAAACTTCATGTAACCATCACCACTTAGGCATTTCCCAGCAATGCACTTGTCAAAACACTGGGAAAGGATAATAATGTCCCTTTTCAAATCTGGAGTGAAGGTGATAAAAGGCTATGAAGAGATAGTTGAATACTTGACCAAGGTCACCCAAGGCTCATGCAGCAATTCTGATCACAATGTTTTTCAAGCATCACTAAAGAGAAAGGATAGCTGCTACAGCAAATCTGTTGCAAGTTACGAAATTAATTACATCTAGTTGTTTAGAAGTTGCTAGAGAAGCTGCTCTTCATAGCAGCATCCCAACTTTGTTTCTGCGCTGCAGAAATCCACGTCTACATTGCCATTAGCCCTACTACAGGAGTTCTGATTGTGCTTAAAGCTCGACCCATGATGCAGGGGAGAGGGATCAAGCATGCTAGCTGTCTCCCTCTCCAGCTGCCTCTAACGTGCAAGAAGACTGCATGCACTGGAGAGTCTATCCTATGGAGAAGCTCTCCCTGAGATGAGAACCCTGATTTTTCTAGGGTCCTAAATCTCAAGGAGAGCTTCCATGGAAAGAGGAGGCTTTTCAATACACAGCTGGCCTCCACATGCGGAAGGCAATAGTGATGCTGGGGTGGGGGCATTCAGTCCCATTCTCTGTGTGTGAAGTGTATGTGTGAACAGGATAGTTCCACAGGGCTGTAATGTGTGGCCACACTGCCCATCTCTCCCCTTTCCTTTACAACTCGGAGAGGAGATGATTAGGAATAGTTCCTTCCCTACTCTACAAAAAAGCTACACTCCTGGGAGTAACAGCCAGAACAGACTGTGACTGTGAATTGTTCTCATGCTGGTACCAAGGCCAGGTAATAAACGTCTTTCTTTGCACCGGGACTAATGTTCGCTTTAACACCAGTATAAGTCTACCGGTTCTGACCTTGAACCAGCACTGAGACAAGCTCTTCGATCCTGCAAGAAAGGGGATGCAAGCTTTACTGTGTGGTGGATATTTAACCATCCTAACTGTATAACTCTATGCATAGGAAAAGCCAATTTCCTGTAGACAGCACAGCCATAACAAGGAATATATTGTCATTTCCCACAAGTGCTAGCACTGTAGTGAAGAGTGTAAGCTACTGTGCGGCTGAGAGCTACAGCTGTGGGATGGTTTAGAAATGAAAATTAGAACCATCACCACCACCACATGGAGAGGAGACAGATTTCTCATATGAATGAGAAATGGCAAGTGGCACGGGGCAGATCCTCACTTTATCACAATGGAACACAAGATTGGACATTATTAGCACATGTTCTATTTCTATATATGTCGTTATGACTATCAAATATTGTTTATTCTTAAGCCATATTCTCACAATATATACAGAATTTGTATCCAGGTATGCTGTTCATGCAAGGGAATTCCACATCACAAGCTAATACTTGCAGGGGTGGGAAGGAAACAATTCTTGAACAGTATCATTAAACAGATTTTAATTCACCTGAGTTGCAAAGCCAGGGCAGGAGGCATCAGTCTTAAACCTATTCTTCCCAGTTGTGCTGGATAGATCCCAACCAGCTCTACCACAGTAACATGACGGAGATCTAAACCACACTGTGCTGGCTAAAATGGTCAACATAAGAAACAAAAATATCAAGTTAATTAATGAGAAGCATAGACACAATCGAACATGTGCTCATTATGTTCATGTAAATTAAACCTAAAAATGAAGGCCTTGTGAAAGATATATATATGGATGGGCAGATGCATATGAGTTTGGAACTGAATCAAGTTTGGCACATGTGAATACAGTTTTAAAATATTTAAAATACTAAAAAGAACTTTATTCTTACTTTTCAAAGGTAGCATAAAGTAATATTTTCTCCATAAAATAATTGGATTTTGCTTTGAAGAAAATAACAGATTTTCTCTGCCCATTTCATAAGTTAATCTTTTCTGGAAAAATACTTCATCTGTCTTTCTGGTAAGCGACACATAGGCCTGAATATATTCCATGACAGCATTATGTACACACAGTGCTGGACACAGAATTAGGATCACAGTGCTTGGCTTCATTTATATTAGCATTTAAAACAAGAGCAGGGAACATTTTTCAACTCAAAGGCCAAACTGGTTCCAGGCAAATATGCTGGGGGTGCATGGCAATGATGGTCCTCACACTGCTGGTCTTCGGCCCTAATTTAATGCTTTTAAAAAGACTGATGCAGTGCAGGGGGTGGGGAAGCAGGGAAAAACTGTCTTCTCCAATCAACCACTACTAAGAGATTTTGATCCGGGGTGCTTGGGAAGAGGGAGGAGAGATGGGAAAGAAAGTGGCAATACAAAGAAGCATGCTTAATGGGCTATTTCAGGCCTGAAGGTCCCCATCTTAATTTAAAGAGCTTCAGAATGTAGCAGTTCTCTCCACCCTTCTTCAAAGGCATTTTTACATAGGTAGATTTCTTTCGTTATAAATTGAGGTACCAAGCTGGAAAGGAAACCTGTATTACAAGAACCGCTAAATAACATTGCCCCTTCTTTAAAAGTTAAGCTTCATCTACTGTTTCTACATGAGTTGTTAGGAGCATTATTTCATTTCATTTTGAAGAAAGCAAACACAAAAGGATCCCTCCAAGGCCATATGAACACTACTGTCTAGTTCAACTACCATATGCTTATAGTCTTGGATCCAGCGTTCCTATGGGCAGAATTCTGCACATAGGACTCTCCTAATGGAAGAAGAGGAGGGAGATGAATCACACATTCTTCTTCTATATCTCCCTGTGCTTCCCAGAACAGTGGGAGATATGGAACAGAGACTCAAAGAGAATTGTGAGAATCTCTTCCCCCTTCTTCCAGTGGCAGCTTCTGTTGGATCTCAGTCCCTTTCGTGATCCATAATTAATAACTAAAGCAGATCATCATAATGTAAGTCACAGAAGAAACACAACCTTAGCAACACTGCTGATCTGCAATAGAGTTTGGGGGCAAAATCGATTCCAGCTGTACTTATGCCTCACCTGCAGTATTCCCAATTGTAATCTATAGTAATAATTCGCTGCAGTAGGAGTAGAAATGATGAGCAACCTCCGTTTCTCATAAAATTGGTCCAGAAGTGCTGCAGCAGTCCTCACACCAACATTAATATTCATGGCTGAAATTACAATCAAGAAGACATTGATAAATCTTTGTAAACCTAGAAACAGTCTTAATTCATTTAGACATGGAAATAAAAAGGGGACAGTTCAGATATAAAAAATGTTGAGAGTCAAAGTATTCTCAGGTCATGCTCATTTAAACCTCAATGGCAATGAAAACTGCAGCTGCTTTAACACATGCACAAATGTGCAGCTTAATCCTACATATGTTTGCACTATTTTCAAATGAATAACTCTATATACAGCCTTTGAACCTTTCTGGGTGGCCAGTTTATATTACAGCAAACTATCCCACTTCAGCCACTCACTCAGCAACATCCAAGCAGTTTCTCTGTGGTCTCAGAACACATCTATAAAGTCCTAACTTTAGGAGTAGATTCCACTGATCTGTTCCAATACTTGCTTGCCAAGCAATGTCATATTCTATGAGATTGCACTAGCAGATTAGTACATCACATCCAAAACACATACAAATACATTATACTGAATCAGTCTATTACTCTGGTAGTAGGTCTCCAGAGTCCCAGTCAGAAATTTCCCTTGCTTTTGAGATGCTTTGCTAGTGACTGATCTTATGAATGCAAAGTATAATTGACCACTGAGCTTTGGACTCTCCTTGGATACACACAGTCCTTAAAGTCAGCTATGAATTCAGACTTTCAAAGTACATGCTAATTCTGCATACATATGCTGCTAAATATGGATCTTGGTTCAAGTGACCAGGATGAGGTGGGGAGGATAATCATGCTTAAATCTTTTCACTCACAACCTGTAACAAATGAATGCACCTTCCAGAGGCTAACTGGTAATTATATTGCAAAATGTGCACATATTTATGAGTTGACAGGAGAACGTAGGTGGCTGTTTGATAATTCCTATCGAAAAAGAATAAGCAATCCACAGAATGAAAGCAGAAGAGAGAAGCAAGGAAAACCCGTAAGACAGTAAGAAAGCTATATACTGGACAGAATGCAAATTGACAAGATTGGGAAAGTAAATTAGGTAGTGTTAATATAAAGGGCCTCAGCATTAACTGTTGCAACAAGATCCTCTACCAAATCTATTGTGCCAGTTAGCCTTATTAATGCTACAAAACCAAAATTAGGCTAGTGCTTGTGCTGACCTTGCTATTACCTATTCCATACAATTCATTATTGCATCTGTTCAGCTTTATTCATTTCTGAGTAGAGTTCCCTCGTCAAGATCACATCCTTGTTCCAGACAACTATTATCACAAGCTACTTTTTAAGCTTGGGGAACAGTTTAATTAAAACACAATTTGCAATAAGAAGCAGTTACTTGGAAACAAACATAAAAAGCTGCACTATATTTTCCAATTTCTGCTTGAGTTTCTGTAGATCGAAGCTATTGATACACTCTGCAACAGCTAAGCGATACTGTGATGTTAATATAATAAAATACTGGAATGCCAAGGTTAGCGGATCCTTTTAACACATATTTTATCATATTCAGTATATTGTTAAACTTCATAAAACATCAAAATCTCATTGTTAATTAGCAAACTGGATACTTAATTCAACACATGCACTCTGCTGGACAAAAACAACTCTGAGAATTGAAATGTTCGCGCATGTGAACCATTTATTATGTAAAGGTTGCTTAGCAAAACATGTTATACATGTAATCCTGTCCCACATGCTGCCCTTTTACTAGATTAATTCATTACTCACGTACGTGTACAAGTTGGCTCTGTTCCTGACCAGCCTAAATTGTACTGGCATACTCTTGCTGGACTTCCTTGCAAATCATACCCACCAATGCAGGAAAATTCGCAGGTTGCACCATAATTATTCCCATCACCAGAACATTTTATGTAACCATTTTCCGGAGCATTCAGTTTCCCACAGCGCCTGACTTTAAACACAACATAACACAAATATTCAGTAATGAATTGTCTCTTCTAATATATTTTCTCATAATTGAACATTAATAAGTTTATTGTTAGCCTTTACATTTATTTTCGTATTTTTATTTATAATCATTGTATATATTAATATAAATTAAGAAGTGGTTATGCAAGTCACATATATTCACTGAGAGTTTACAACTGTTTGTTAGTGTCCCTTCCAAACTCCTCTCGCCCTTCTGCTCACAGAAATTGTGGGGTGCATTTTGCCAAGTCAAATAAGGAGCCCAGCTTGGCAAAAGCGGACAGCAGATTGTGACCTGGAAGATTTATCTGACAATGTTCTTGCAGCAGGAAACACTTGCGCACATAAAGCTTAACTAAAAATCTACTCTCCTCTACGGTCTCATGTGTATATGACCTGGAATAATCTGATGGTATAATCAGAGTACTACTTTCTGGTATCACCTACATCAGGGTCGTGCAAACTTTTGGCTCTGAGGGCGGTGGGCCTGGGCCTGCACCTGTATGCAAGAACCTATGTATGTGATCGCTGGGGGTAATGGAGAGGCCGCCTCGGGGACTGCTGTGGGGGCGGAGGGGAAGAGGCTAGAGCGTCCTCCTTCTGCTGCAGGGCTCCTGACATGTATTGTCATGCTTGCATTGTGACATGAAAGTGGCAATGCTGATGGACTGACTGGGGGCAGGGCTATGGGGGGCCAGCACCACTCCCATGTTTACTTTCTCAGGTGACATATAAATGCGGACCAAGTTCAATGGCTCTGCTTCTTTTGGCATCAAATATTCTTACCTTTGACTTTAACGAGAAATTTGCAAGTTCCTTTATTCCCAGCTCTGTCAAACACAGTGTAGTGGATTTTGTGGTCACCTTCTGAAAAATGTGATCCTGGCGGTAGTCCTTTCAAAATAACACTAAACATAAAATAAGAGTCTAAGTATGTAGTTTTTGTAGGTGGAAACAAGCCTATATACTTGAAAAACATATTTTTAAATGTCACTATAATATTCATATTTACATAATATTTACATAAAGTATACATATAAGCACAAAATAAAACAATCACAGAAATTGTGAATGATAAAGACCAGTCTTAGCAGGTTCTGTATACATATATAATTTAGTCAGAATAATGTAAATAAGCAGCCAAGTGCAAAAAACTTATTCAAAGTATCAAAATCTTTCCACCCACAAGAAATAGACCAATCTCGGTTAAATGACTATAATAACTGATAATAGTCCTCAATTTAATTCTAAGGCAATCAGAATGCTTATGAGGAAATGAGATCTTGGGTATGTTACATCTAGTTCATACTATGCAAGAATAAATGAATTGACTGAAAGAACTTTCTAAACATTTAAGAAGATCTTTAGCAAGAGCAGTTTGGATAATACATATCCATATGTTCGCTTGTTATTTCTTGGATATGCACTATTTTGCACTGAATATGCACTGAAATCACTGATGTAAGCAAGAAGTGTCTTAAGTAGAAGTGTGCAAGAACAGTTAAGCAGAAATATTAGTATGATGGAGTAGCTAGGTCTTTGCCACCACTGAAAGTAGGAATAAGAGTTACTATTCAAGAAGGAGTGTGGCAACTTGCAAAATCACACTCATAGATCATATGTGGTGAAAACTCAGGATGCAAAGTTTCATACAAAAAATAGGAAGGGTTTCATAAGTTTGAACAGATGTCTGAGGAAAGCCATGATAAGCAGAATGAGGAGGAAGGTAGTAAAAGTATGAAATTAGAACAGGATGATTTTATTAAGATTGAGTCAGAGTAAGAACATCTTTAAGATATGGATATGGGGAATGAAAAAGAAATAAAGGAAGGGAGGGAGGGAAAATTTTATAAATAAATAAATAAATAAATAAATAAATAAATAAATAAATAAATGTATTTGGTTCTTTTTGGAGGACTCTTTTTACACTGATTAAGATAGAAGGACTCAGTTGGTATTGTAATAAGCAAACTGGATTGTAGGTTTTGTATTGTTGTTGTTAGTTGCGAGATCGTGTCCGACCCATCGCGACCCTATGGACAACATTCCTCCAGACCTTCCTGTCCTCCACCATCCCCCAGAGTCCACTTAAGCTCATGCCGACTGCTTCAGTGACTCATCTAGCCACCTCATTCTCTGCCGTCCCCTTCTTCTTTTGCTGTCAATTGTTCCCAGCATTAGGCTCTTCTCCGTGAGTTGTTCCTTCTCATTAGGTGTCCAAAGTATTTGAGCTTCATCTTTAGTATCTGGCCTTCTACAGAACAGTCAGGGTTGATCTCCTCTAGGACTGACCAGTTGGATCACCTTGTGGTCCAAGGGACTCTCAGGAGTCTCCTCCAGCACCACAATTCAAAGGCCTCAATCCTTTGGTGCTCAGCCTTCCTTATGGTCCAACTTTCACAGCCATACACTGCAACTGGGAAAACCACAGCCTTGACTATACGCACTTTTGTTGGCAGGGTGATGTCTCTGCTTTTTAGTATGCTGTCTAGATGTGCCATAGCTTTCCTCCCAAGGAGCAAGCGTCTTTTAATTTCTTGGCTACAGTCCCCATCTGCGGTGATCTTGGAGCCCAGGAAAATAAAATCTGTCACTACCTCCATTTCTTCCCCATCTATTTGCCAGGAAGTGATAGGACCAGATGCCATGATCTTAGTTTTCTTGATGTTCAGTTTCAAGCCAACTTTTGCACTCTGCTCCTTCACCTGCATCAAGAGGCTCTTTAGTTCCTGTTCACTTTCTGCCATGAGAGTGGTATCATCTGCATATCTGAGGTTGTTGATATTTCTCCCGGCAATCTTAATTCCAACTTGTGATTAATCTAGCCCTGCCTTTCCCATGATGTGCTCTGCATATAAGTTAAATACACAGGGCTACAGTATACAGCTTTGCCGAACTCCTTTTTCAATTTTGAACCAATCAGTGGTTCCGTGTCCAGTTCTCACTGTTGCTTCTTGACCTGCATATAGGTTTCTCAAGAGACAAATAAGATGGTCTGGTACTCCCATCTCTTTAAGAACTTGCCACAATTGGTTGTGATCTACACAATCAAAGGCTTTAGCATAGTCAATGAAGCAGAAGTAGATGTTTTTCTGGAACTCCCTAGCTTTCTCCA